TATCATCAACTTTTAACTATTACATTCATAAAATGAATAATAAATTAAATTTTTTATTCATTAAATTCATTAAAATGATGTCATTTTACTTAGAATGCGTAAGTCGATCATACCGGTCATACCGGTGGTATCATGCCGGTTTCATGACTGGCACAGGTTGAACCAGGTTCAACCGGATGGCCTGCCACCGGCATGACAACCATGCCCTTCGCCATTTTCAATCAAACTAATTTGAGAGCAGAGAGAGGGGAGAGATGGAGCCATTAACGCTACCCCATTGACCCCTTTGTCCCAGCGACCTCCTTCGAAGTCGCGTTGAAGTCGCATTGTTCATCTTCTTCGAAATCACGTGTTTCCCCATCGCAGTCAGTTTCCCCCACCGCAACAGACACCGAGACCTTCAGATTCTCCTTCGATTCACGCTCTACTTCTTCTTCGTGCGCCAGCGTCAGCTTCCTCAATTGCAACAGTGGGCGAAACCCAAATCGATTCCTCCGTCGCGTCAGTTGCTACTCTCTTATCCCCGACTGTAAATGTAAGTTGTTTCTTTGTTCTTTTCTGGTTATAAGGTAGTCTGAAGAGTCTGGAAAAGAGGAAGGGGCAGATGAAAGTGAAGAAGTGGTTGCATGTTTGGTTTTGGGACTCTCTGTTGGGGTTGTTTTATACTGAAAATTGGACTTTCCTATTTGTTTCCCAACTCATCATTCCACGCGAGAACTATGGTGGGGCATGTGCGGGCACCAGATGCTATTCAGCTCCATGCTCTCGGCTTTCAGATTAATTTGGTCGAAAATGGGGAAGGGGAAGAGCTCTCGAGAAAGGAGAAGGGTTTTCGGGTCTACAAATGAAAACTGATCAGTTTTTTTTAAGTGGGCTCTGGTCTGGTTTCTGGGTCGGGTTGGGTTAATGGATTGGGTTGGGTTTATTACGTGGCGGGTTTAGTGACGTGGCGGGTCGGGTTTGATCATTTCCGGCCGAAAACGGCGCTGACTAGGCGCTCATGGTAGCCACGTCAGGACATAACGGACTCTTTTAACGGAGTTGGACGTCAACTAACGACGAGTGACTAAATGTGTCCTGTTTTAGTAATTATAGTGACTATATTTGATATTAACTTTTTTAGTGACTAAACATGTCCCGATTTAGTAATTTCAGTGACCAAATGTATCTTTAACCCATTTTGTTTCTGAATCGCTATTCGTCGCCCTAAAATTTAAATTTTATCGCCCTAAAATGCACCAAATTGACACTATTACCCCTATTCCTAATTTCAACCCAAACCTTAAATTAAAAATCTCTTTTCCCTTGCCCAGCGGTCGCCGAGCTCCTCCATCCTCTGACTGCTAATGTCGTTGTCGGATTCTTAACTCCGGCTCGTCTTTCTTTTGTTCAACCCAAATCACCCCCGCTTCCAACACCACAGCCAGGTCCTACGTTGTCCTTACGAACGAGTGGATCAGCTCGGAGTACCCAGCAAGAATCGGAGAAAAGTAGTTACCTACATCCAATTTCTGATTACTACTACTTTCAAACCGAATGAAAGTGAAAACTACAGAAGGTGGCGGTATTATCTCTATCCAACGTGTAGTTACATTCTCAAAACTTTAAACTAGAACTTTTGGGAGTGGGCGCGCGTAGCGGTGCAACTTCGGAACATGTCCAGTTGGCGGCGGCCAATTTTGATGGCATCAACTCTGCAATTAGCCCAGCCTCCGGAATCTCCACAACAAAGCCGCCGCTACCGCCGTCCTCAGCCCTCGTCGCCGGGCTCGAAATCTCTGGCGGCGGAGGAACGGGGAAATTAGGGATGAGTTTGTTTTTAAGTTTTGAAAAATAAATAAATGAATTAAGGGTATTAGAGTAAATTAAATTTAATTAGGGCGACGAATAATAAATTTTAGGGCGACGAATAGCAATGCCCTTTTGTTTTGTTTTCGTGGAATTTCTTTTCATGTTTCTCCCGGTGTTGACGGGTTAATTAAGAAAAATGTGAAATATGAATTCGGATATTTCTTCTAAGTTTTACCCTTTTAACAAATATTTGTCTTGATACTACAAACATGCACCAGCTCGTTGCATGTGATAAAAAGAGCCATGTGTTTGAATTTCGATGCACGTCAAATGATATTAACCAATATTTTTCAGAATTGGTTTGAACTATGAACGGATATAAAATACGATGTCATAATTAGCACTTCACAACAATTAGTATATATAAAGTCCTGAATTATTATTTAATATAATTAATAAGATAAATTCTATTTAATGACATAAAAACAAAACAAATAGGTTATATCTTTATTGATGGTATTAACTATTAGGGTGCGCCTACGATGACATGCATGTCATGGTGACTTGCACTTTTCGGTCGACCTCAGTTAGGGTTAGGTCGACCTCATTTAGGATCAGGTCGACCTCATATAGGATTAGGTCGACCTAATCAGTTGTTTCAATGTAAAAACAGTTTCATGGTGCCTACTTTGGAGATTCATATCTTACAATTGGCTCGATGGAAATTGGAGATTAATGGCTTGTTTTGAAGCTGGAATGTCCCTCTACATATTGAAGTGCTTGGGAGCTCGATAGGAAGTCCAGAAGACCATTTTTGAACTTGATAAAAAGGTTATGCCAAAACTGGGAAAATGGCTGAAAATTGTCTGGGAACGTGTTTGTAAAGTCTACTTTGGAGCTCAATTCAAGAAGCATGGATGCGAGTCGAGTCCAGGGGCCTCTACCACGTTAAATTAGGTATATTTTTATACAAAGTCAAGGCATTGGATCAAATATTGGATATCTGTAAGGCTTCAAACAAAAGGGTCGAAGTTGCTGCGAAAACTGTTTTTCTGGCAGACTTTGAGCACAAGCAAGCTGCCAGAAAAACAGCCTTCGTAGCAACTTCGACCCTTTTGTTTGAAGTCTTACAGATATCCAATCTTTCATCCAATGCCATGACCTTGTATAAAAACATACCTAATTTAACGTGGTATAGGCTCCTGGACTTTATTCGCATCCATGCTTCTCGAATTGAGTTCCAAAGTAGGCTTCACAAACACGTTCCCAGACTTGGCCATTGTCAGGCAGTTTCCCAGTTTTGGCATAGCCTTTTGACCAGGTTTAAAAATGGTGTTCTGGACTTCTTATTGAGCTCCCAAGTACTTTAATGTGTAAAGGGACACTTCAGCTTCAAAACAAGCCATTGATCTCCAATTTCCATCTAGCCAATTTCAAGATATGAATCTCCAAAGTAGGCACCATAAAATTGTTTTTTCACTGAAACAACAAATTAGGTCGACCTAACCTTATATGAGGTCGACCGAAAAGTGCATGTCACCGTGACATACATGTCACCGTAACAAAGACCTAACTATTAATCGCAACAAAATCAATACTACCATCGTCTTTCCAATTTATCGATAAAACTAGCCTTGTTCAAAATTTAAATTATTCTACAACGAAAAAATTAACTTAATAAATTCTACAAAAACGGGGAAAACCTCAACAAATGAAAAATAACTTAATTATGATGTCAAATGTTAACAAAGATAAAAACGATCCGCCCAGGCCCAAGCCCAAGCCCAAGCCCAACGACGGGGAAGAGAAGAAGTTTAGTTAACTTAGGATGGTAGTCTAGGGGGTCGTTTGGATGGAGTATTTGTATGAGTTATTTGGGTTCAAATAACTCACAATGAGTCATTTGGACGCAAATAACTCGTTTGGCAGCGTTTTAGTTAGGGCTGATAATCGGTGGGCGGTTACTCGGTCAAACCGTAAACCGAACCGAAATATGCGGTTACACGGTCAACCGAAAACCGATAATTATGCTTCGGTGGCGGTGGCGGTTTGCTGAATTTGGGATTTATGGTAACCGGCAACCGACGGTTGCAAACCGAGACGAACTCGGTGGACCGCATAAAACCGACGAATTGCTCCCCTGCTCCAAACCTCTCCCTCTCACCGCCCTTCCCCTTTCGCATCGCCGCTGTCCTTGCTCCAAACCTCTCCCTCTCACCACAGTTCCCTTTCTGCATCGCCAATCTGCTCCCTCTCCCTCTCGCTGGCCGCTGCTATTCTCCTTCCGCATCGCCACTCTCCTCCCTCTCTCTGCTATTCCCCTCTCGCTGCTATTCCCAGTTCGAGACTCCCCTCCTCTCTGTTGCTAGGTTCAAGATCAGCTATTGCATGCCCTTTCTTCCTAATTTTCTTCTTCCGTCGACATTTTCCTCCCCTTCCTTGTTGATAGAGACTGCCGCAGAGGGAGAGCATCAAGGGATTCGGCGGAATAATATCAATCTCCACCGTCCATGGCGAATTTGGCGGTGGGTATCCGAGGCGCAGTCCTCCCATCTACCAATCCCATCGATCTGCCTGACTCCTCCGACTCCAGGCGGCTCTTTCTTCCTACTCTGCCGCCGGGTTTGTCGCCTGAACTGAGATTCGATGGGAGTGCTCTCTCTTCTTCCTCTGCCGCTGGTTCAAAATTGGAAATTTCCGGTGACATGCAAAGCGATGGCGGTGGTCGGAGGTGGTGTGTGTCGGTTTCGGAGAACCGCAGCCAAAAACCGAAACCGCCGGTTGCGGTTGGCGGTTAACCGAAGACCCCTTCGGTGTCGGCTTCGGTTGGCCGTGCTAGATGATTCTCGGTCTCGGCTAACCGCGGTTGCGGTTCGGTTAAAACCGAAACCGCACCGCTAACAGGCCTAGTTTTAGTGAAATGAGTTATTTGGACAGTGAGTTATTTACAAATAACTCAAAACGAGTTATTTGAAATAACTTATACTCATGTGCTATTTCGAAATAACTCGTTTTATCACTCTGCTTTTACCAAATACCACATGTCAAATACCACATTTGCATGGTTCAACCAAACGAGATACTTTATTTCAATTACCACTAAAATAACACTGAAATACCACATGAGCAATAAATGAGTTATTTGACTCTACAAATACCACATGGACAATAAACCCATCCAAACGACCCCATCAGACCGCTATAATAGGGGAAAGAAGACTTCTACAATCTACACCGAGTCGCTGCATTTGTTTTCTCTGGATTTTCCACAGAACTCTCTCACCGACCAAACAGATTCTCGTCTTCCTCCGCAAAAATCAATGGCGACCTCGTTGTTCTCCTCCCTGGCCGCTAAGCGAACCCTCTTCCTCCTCGCCGCCATCTGTCTCCTGCTAGCACCTACCGCTCGCGCCACTGATGTCAAGTACTGCGGTTAGTCGTCAGTCAGTCTCTCTTGATTTCATCATCTCTCGTTCTTCGGTCCTTTCCCCCGCTATTTCCCCTGAAAATTCAGCTATTGGATTCTACTAAGCATGCTACTTATTGCTTTCTTTTCAATCGTTCATGTAATCGATGGGTTTGATTGATGTGGGACGAATTGGTTCTGGGTGATGATCAATTTGCAGATGCCAAAGCCAACTATGCTGTGAAGGTTGAAGGAATCAAAATCACTCCTGATCCTGTGATTGCTGGCAAGCAGGCTACTTTCGCGATCTCAGCTTCCACTGGTACTCACTAAATCCTTTCCCTTAACTGATTCCCAGTAGTTTGTCTGCCGAAGTTCACCAGAAGTCTGGTTTAGGGGTTTTGACTACTTACTGGCCGTTGATTGCTTGATTTTGATGGTTTTCAACTTCAATTTGAGAATGGAAAGGAGCAAGAAATCTTCTTGATTGATATCCCATTCCATGTTAATCGCTGTGATTAGGTCTCTTTTATGTAATTGATTGGGAGCTCAGTTTTAGTAATTTGCTGCAGTGAAGAGGTTAGCTAATTTTCTATTTTGTTTTGATCTGACTTGAGCATCCTCTGTTTCTGCAACAGCTGAGGCTATCTCTGGTGGGGAAGTGTTGCTTGAGGTTTACCTGTTTGGCTTCTCAGTCCATTCCGAGACTAGAGACCTCTGCGAGGATATCGCGTGCCCTATTCCTGCTGGCGACTTCCTGCTCTCCCACTCCCAAAGTTTGCCCGGATTTACTCCACCAGTAAGTAACATTCCCTATTGGACTTTGCTTTTGGTTCTTCGAAACCTCTCAGTATTGTTCAACATTGTGGTGTCAATAGATGTACGCATCCAAGTCCGCGAGGTCAATCAAAGTATCAATAGTGATGTGCTCCCACATTGTTACCTTACCAACCCACTAGATGACTAGAAAGAAGCTCGGCATTAGTCTTGGGTCCATGAGGTCTCTTAGATCAGTTTATTTCCTGCAATCCAAGTTTGACTAGGATGGCTCTTGCATTGCATGATAATCAGTTTCATCATAAGTAGTGTTTTCCCCCCGGAAAATTTACTCATGGGAGAACAGTGAATGTTAGAAGTTGAAACGATAGCATGTTCATGACAAAAGGATTGATGGAGAACCTTTATGCAAAACTTATGCATAGCATATCCAAGAAATAAAGCATCAAAATCTGTAACCCTCGTTATCGAAACGGGTTCATCTGATTGACCGTTTGCTTGTTGTCCTTGCAGGGCTCCTACAATCTGAAGATGACGATAAAGAACAGTAAGCAGCAACAGCTGACTTGTGTCAGCTTCGATTTCAGCGTCAGCTGGTGGGCTTTGGTCGCCGACTACTGAGTTCCAGTTCGACGGCCAACCTTGAATTTGATGCATAGATGGCGCTCCATGTCTCGATCTGGACTTGACTTTTTATGAGCCAAATGTGATCTCTTTCAGGAGAGGCTTTCATGTGTTTGTTTATAAGACGAGATAGTTAACGATGCAACTGTTTTATGTTAAAGCACCTGTGAATGTTCGTGTTCGTTCTGTGTTTGTACCTTAGACGAAGAATTAGTGTTCCACTAGTAGCTCTATATGCGTTCGAATTATGTGTATCCAGACCTTCCCTGCAAATCTACAACCATACATGGGTGACTGGTCCAATGGATGTGTGTTTTCTTAAGTAGATTGTTGATGTCGGTATCTATGGATTTGAAATCGAATCGATGATCGATTTCACAAATCCGCAAGAGAAGTATTTGGTTTAACTCAAATCCGTGAGACTCATGAATTTTAAGTTGATGAAATCGAGAATATAATGAATGTGGCCAATTCTTGTTCATAAGAAAGATTGTAACCCATTCTTGATTCACAATCAAAATTCACTAGACATGCACTTTATCTTTTATGACAGAGATTCTTGAGCCTAAACTATGATTCAAACTTTTATGCATGATGAGATCTTTTATTTTGTTAAGTAAATGAGAAAAGTAATTCTCAACTCTAGTTACGAGTAATCTTATGGAATATAATGGAAAGCATATATCGAATAATCCAAACTAATAAGGAACGAGCATTGTGAGATCGATGAAATAGCGAATTAAGTATTTAGACATTTTATCGATGAGACTGATATAAAAGGGAAATAAAATTCTTTTGATCATCAAGTAAGAAGTAAAAATATTAAGAGGAAACCAGGGTTATAATAATTTACCTTTTCAGGAATTTAAGCATACCAAAAATAGTCAGTCTTGGAGATCAATACAATACTGATCCAGCCGGGAATCAATTTTTCTGGCAAGCGGGATGGGATTGGGAGCAGGAGGCCCAACCCACTGAAACACAAAGGCGGCCTTGGAAAACCAGCGTGTTCGCTGTCTCGTCATCGCCGATTCTCCTAGCAGTCGCTCGCTTCTGGCGACTCGAGAGGTTCTCGCACTTTGTCTGTCCTCCATTCAACTCTCTGGAGTAGGGAGCGGACTGAATTCTCAGAAAAAAGGGATCGGGTAAGAACAAAATTTCTTGCGAAAGCTCCTTATGTAGTGCTGAGTACAGATTCACCCGGTGAGAATCTTGCATCAATGTCTTCCTAAGTTTACCTTCTTCATCAATTTGTTGCCCTCCTCGCTCTAGGGTTTTTTGTCTCTAGGGTTTCCGGAAGAATGTTGCTTTCTGGACTCCGTTGTTAGGGCATTGATTTTTGAAGGGGTAATTGTCATGCTTATGTTATTACTTTGTGGTGTGAGAGAATGGAACTTGCTATCCAGACTTTCTGCTCCTGAATCCGCTGTACCATGAAGTGCGAATGGTCTTTGCTGAGTAGATAAATTTTGGATTCTGAATGTCACATAGGTGTTGCGATCAACCTGCAAATCGGGGTTTTTTTTGAGCGATGAGACGGCAGGGCCAGTATGCTGATTCTGGTGGCACTGGTTATGGTGGTGGTCAGATGCAGCAGCATACTTCTAGTCAGAGGGTTGAACAAGGGTCTGATCATTTCCAAGGACAACTGGAGGCCTTCACTCCTGAGAGAGAGACATCTTATACTTCCTCGAAACCTGATGGACAGTGGCGATGGGTGAGGGATGAATCAAAGCCGGTAGCATCTCAGATGTTCAATGAAGGTACTTTGGTTACTGATTTTCACAGGTGTAGTGGAAAAAACAATAAAGGAGATGATTGAACTGGAAGTTACATCTGCTGCAGTAGCATATAATTTGAGCAAGACCTTTCAGTACAATCCGTTTCCTTGTTGCTGATTCTTTCTACTTATGGTCCTTGTGTCGTGTGTTGATACAGGTCAAGTGGTTGATGCATCAAGGACTTATATTCAGGGGAAAAGGCCCGAGTCCCATGTGGGTCTAGAGCAACAAGGGAACCTTGATCCTAGATCTCGATCACGTGAGGAAGATATGCAGAACTCTTATGAGGACAAACCACGTTTGCAAACTTTTGAAGGCCTTGAGCAGAAATTCATTGATGACATCATGAAATTAGCCAAGGAACAGAGTGATGCTGAGGACGCAGAGATTTCCAGACACAGAGAGGTTAGTTTCTATCTACCGTACAATTACTGGATCATGTGTGTTGATATTTAAACATGGTCATGGACATGAACATCTGTATATGAATATATAGACTAGGTGAATGAAAAGCAGCATGAATCCTTAAAACTAGAACGACATTGTATGCCAACCTAAGATTTTTACCTGATGTATTATCCACGTTGATCAGGAGCCCGTGAAACATGAAACGACATTTTTTAACATGGAAAAGAAAATGTTACTACTTTCTTATTCTCTTAATCTTAGAACACACTCGTCTTCTAGTGGGGTTGGGATCTGTGTTTGAGGTGTTGTGCATCTAGAAATTACATCTATCTTAGGGTTTGCCAAAGTTGATATGTTTATGAGTATAACGAGATTATTAACTCAAACACACTTTTCCCTTTTGTTCCATGTTTCAGAAAATAAAGTCCATAAACGACCGGCATCAGGAACAACTATCAGCACTTCGAGCTAGGCACGCAAGTCGAAGAGAAGAACTGCTTCGGAAGGAGTCACAAGTACGACAACACAGATATCAGCAAGCTATGATGGATCATTACCCAAACAACAACAACAGCATGGCTCCTGGAGAATCCCTTGGCTATAGCGCTTCACGTGCAGGCTCAGCATCTATCAATGAAGCTCAGCAAGCTAATTACAGCGGAAGCCCTTTCGATTCTTACCAGGAGAAGGCTCGTTTCCTCGGTAATAACGCAAGGGATCAAGGATACGGGACCAGAGGCCAATACCCTGCAGGGGGACGTGTGTATGATTCAGGCACACGCTACTATTGATCGGTTCACTTCCTCATCTCATCCGTGGTGCCAGGTTAAAATATAGCCTTCAGTTTGTAGGCTCTGCTTATATGCTAACATATCTATGTTACTCTTGCTAGCTACTTTCCCCCCTTGCTTCTGTCCTTGTGGCATTGTTGCCCTCTTGCCGTTTCATTGTGTTATTATACATGACCTTAAACTCCACTTATGAAAAACCCAGTTTAGTGAAAAAAAAAAAACAATATAAATTAGTTTGTTAATTGCGTCTTCTTCTGTTGATGCATCGATCGAGGCCTTCTCAGTACAATGAAACGCTCTCACATTCTTATTCTCCTTCTCCTTCCTAACCTTAGTAAACGTACATTTTAACTTTGAATCACGAAACAGGCTTCTGCAGGTTTCGATTTACCACTGATAATCTCCACCCAGCAACGACTTCTCTTCTTCCTCGATCCGTCCGAGCCCGATCCCAATATTGACCACCTGACGTTTCCTCGCAAACCTGCCGGCCGAATACTTGATCTTGTTGTCGGCCAAATCCTGACGGCCAGGCACCTTGTCCGCCGCGGCGACGACGAGCCCCCTCTGCTCTTCCCAGTAGCTGTTGCTGCTGTGTTTCGCCGGTCGGCCGAAGCTGTAGACACGAGGGAAAGAGCCCAAGCTTGGAGGGCAGCCGCCGATGGGCGGGATTGCTTGGGTCTGGACCTTGTCGCTCAATTCAGACATCCTGGTCACGTAGTAGTTCCTGCTCGCCGTCAGCAGCCTCGACAGCGCTCTCCGGAGCTTCCCTGCTCTGCTTTCCGCGGTTCCTCTGTCCGCCATTGCTGTCATTGTTGAGGAGAAACAGGGGAAGGGATTAGGGGTGATTGATTTCGGTGAGTTGGATTTCTGCAAGGCAACGGAATGGTGTCGACAGGTTTTAAGGGGAAGTGCAAAGATCAAATCTTTGCCGAACACACCTGAATTATAAAAAAAAAAAAAGTGAGATGGATACGAGGAGCGCACGACGATTCGGATAAAGAGCGATACCAGGCGGGGAAGTGCAAGATCGAATCTTTTCTTCTTTAGCGCGTGTGACAATTTGAATATAAGCAGAGAAAAACGAAAGAAACAAAACAGTTGACCTGTAAAATCAATATATCATTAACGCAAGGAATCACTTCCTGCAGGAGGTTCAAAAGTTTAACGAACTCTTTTCTAACCATTCTTTTCCAACCATTCGAGTTATTGGGACCAAGTGGTTAGTTTGCAAATATGTTATTAGAGTCTAGAACTGAAAGGTCATGATTCATAACGACCTTCATTTTATACCATTCCTTTAGCACAAGAGACGGTATGTCCAACCCGTGCAAACTAAAGCCTCGTGATTTAGCAGTATAACTGCATAAGGGTTCAAACTGTACAAATCCGTACAATTCGGCATCGGCTTTCGTTTGAGGGGGCGTGTAACAGATCAAACATATATGGTAATTCGAGTTATTGGGACCAAGTAGTTAGTTCGCTAACACTTCCTCGTCTCCTACCTTACTCTTGCTAGCTTCTTAGCTCATGTAAAACCAGTTTTTTAAGTGTTGTAGTTTTTGTTTCCAAATGTCTTTTATATTATAAATTGAATTTATACATTTAATGTTATGGTACAATACAAATTCAACTTGTAGTCTTACATTTTCGTACAAAACCTTTATGCTATAAATTGAACTTGTACATGCTACGACATAAATTGAATTTGTACATATACTCTTTCTTTGGTGTTTTGAGTTTTGACTAACTCCAGCCGTATTTTGACAAAGTGTTGACAAATTTGGCGATTTTCTGGCAAAATCTTACACAAATTGTAGGTTTCAGGCGGACGAAACCTAAAAGGACTACCTGATTTTTTCAACTTATAACTATATCAATTTATACAAAAACATTTTATCATACAAAATGAACCGATATTTTTACCATTACGATACAAACTAGAAGTACCATTCCTTCCAAGCACAGCAATTGAGCCGTAACATAAATTATATACTGCCTGGACGTTACACATGGATTGGATGGAGCAATATTATCCGTTCTTAAAATGTTACCGGCCGCCTTCATCTTCTAGCCTTTGTCTTGCCAAATCTAGTTGTCCTCCAACTCTACCAACCATCGTGGCTTCCTGATATATAGTCGATATACAATACAGATGTTATTATTATTATTATTATTATTATAGAGATTAATTATTGTTATTACCTAATTAATAACTTGCTAATTAGAAGATGGCCGAGTTATAGTAGAACAACAATTATACTAAAAAACTAATAACCATATTAAACCGACAACAATTAATGCGCAAGACTCTCTATAAATAATAACCCCTATAATCGGGTTAGGGTTAGCAGCCGTTGCATATTCTCTTTTGTTTTTTCTCTTCCAAAGTTCAGCAGCAGCAAGCAGAATAGGAGAAAACGAACGGAAGGAGAAGAAGAAAGAAACCATGAAGTACGTCGTCGTGACCGGCGGCGGGATGAGCGGGCTCGGCAAAGGCGTCACCTCCAGCAGCGTCGGCGTCCTCCTCCAGGCCTGCGGGCTCCGCGTCACCTGCATCAAGATCGACCCTTACCTCAACATCGACGCCGGCACCATGTCCCCCTTCGAGCACGGCGAGGTCTTCGTCCTCCAAGACGGCGGCGAGGCCGACCTCGACCTCGGCAACTACGAGCGCTTCCTCGACGTCACGCTCACAAGCGACAACAACATCACCACCGGCAAGATCAACCGGACCGTCATGGAAAAAGAACGCAGGGGAGCCTATCTAGGAAAGACCGTACAGGTATTCAAAATCTACGTTTTAAATTTCAAAAGCTTACGTTTACGTTTTTATTCTTGAGTCACGAAAACGGTGGTACTTCTACGTAGGATCGCTCTTTTCACTTATTATCGTAGTCAAAATCTACGCTTTAAAGTTTAAAACCTTATGTTTCTACGTATAATCACAATTTCGTAGAATCGCTCTCTTCACTTACAATTTTAGTCAAAATCTGCGCTTTAAAATATAAAACCTACCTTATGTTTCGACGTATAATCACAATTTTTGACTGCATTGGCAGGTGGTCCCCCACGTGACGGATGAAATCCAGGATTGGATCCAGCGCGTGGCCCACGCGCCCGTCGACGGGAAGGAAGGTCCTCCCGACGTCTGCGTGATCGAGCTGGGCGGGACCGTCGGCGACATAGAGTCCTGCCCGTTCGTCGAGGCGCTGGCCGAGCTCTCGTATCGAGTCGGGGACTTCTGCCTGATCCACGTCAGCCACGTCCCCGTCCTGAGCGCCGTCGGCGAGCAGAAAACGAAACCGACTCAGCACAGCGTCCGGACGCTGAGGAGCCTAGGGTTGGCTCCGAACATCCTGGCGTGCCGGAGTAACTCCCCGCTCGAGGGCTACGCGCGGGAGAAGCTGGCGCGGTCGTGCCACGTGTCGTCCGGGAGCGTGCTGAGCTTGCACGATGTCGGGAAGAACGTGTGGCGCGTCCCGATTCTGCTGAGGGATCAGAAGGCTCACGAGGCCGTGCTGAGGGTTTTGAATTTGGATGTGAAGGAGCCTGATTTGAAGGAGTGGACGGCTAGGGCTGAGCTTTTTGACGCGTTGGTCGAACCGGTTCGAATCGCTTTGGTTGGGAAGTATATGGGTCTAACCCGTATTAATAAGGATGCCTATTTTTCCGTTGAGAAGGCGCTCCTGCATGCATCGGTTGCTCTCCGGAAGAAGCTCGCCGTCGATTGGGTTCCCGCTGAGGATCTCGAAGATGGAACCGCACAAGAGGTGATCGTTAGAAAGTTATGTGTTTTCATAATTAATCAGATCGCTCGGACTAAACAGGAAAAGTTAGTGATTCATAGTTTGAAGTTTAAACGGTCTAAAAAAAGTACAACTTATTTATTAAATTAAGTCTGTAACAGGGTGATAAGTGACAATGAATCATATATACATTTTACATCACTGACAAGGCTTTTCCTTCCAACTTTTTTTCGCAGAACCCTAATGCTTACAAAGCTGCATGGAACAAGCTCAAGGGAGCGGACGGGATTCTGGTTCCCGGAGGATTCGGCGACAGAGGCGTGGAGGGCAAAATCCTCGCCGCAAAACACGCCCGGGAGAACCGGATCCCTTACCTCGGCATCTGCCTGGGGATGCAGGTCGCCGTCATCGAGTTCGCGAGATCGGTCCTCCTCGACATGCAAGACGCCAACAGCACGGAGTTCGACGCCGAGACGAAGAACCCGTGCGTGGTGTTCATGCCGGAAGGATCGAGGACCCACGTGGGCGGCACCATGCGGCTAGGCTCAAGAAGGACCTACTTCCACCACAACGACCACCACGACGTGGGCTGCATGGCCGCGAGGTTGTATGGGAACGTGAGTTACGTGGACGAGAGGCACAGGCACAGGTATGAGGTGAATCCGGAGATGGTAGCGCGGTTTGAGGAGGCGGGGCTTTGGTTTAGTGGAAGGGACGAGAGCGGGGAGCGGATGGAGATTGTGGAGCTGGGGGAGCATCCGTTCTACGTTGGCGTGCAGTTTCATCCGGAGTTTAAGTCGAGGCCGGGGAAGCCTTCTCCGGTGTTCACGGGTAAAACTCAGATCTTAATTAATTAACCGCCCAAATGGATCGTTTGAGTTTGTGTTTGATAAAAACAAACGAATTATGGCATCTCTTGATTGATTGTGTAGGTCTGGTAGCAGCAGCGTGTGGACAGCTGGAGAGTGTGTTGCAACAAAGCCACGGGGAAAGCAATGGGTTCGAGAAAACCGATGGAGTTGGAAAGGTCGTCGAAAAGTAAGTGTTGGCGCCAAGGAAAATTAGGAGTTTTGGTAAATTTTTGGATTTTAAGATTGGAGGATTATGTTGGATTTTGTTATTTCAGGGTTTGTGTTGGATTTCGGAAGTTAGTAGTTTAACAAGCAAACACGTTGTCGCTATTATTAACATATCCATCCAACATTTCAGGAATAATATATGAGGTATAAATATAAAAAAATGGTACTTGAAATAAATGAATTACCCACGCTAATAATAACACATTTATTTACCTTATTTCTAATTTCAAAGATAAGTTTTATCATGTTGTTGCATTAATAGTAGCGCTCTGCCAATTCAAATGGGTCCAATAAGCGATGAATTGGTCGATCTGTCAAGCCTCACAATATTTCTTATTTATGAAAACGTACTCTTAGTTCATAATTCAAATATTTTCATTCCATTATGGGGGAAGAGAGTAAAACATTATTGGTGTTGGACCCCTCAAAGCATCCTCTAGATTGGCCTACGACCACCCTAATCTGGACTGGTTCTCACTAAATAGTAATACGACCGTCTATCAAATTCAGAGATTTAATGTAACCACAAACTCACAAGGGACAACACAATTCTTGATGGAAAAGAGCTAACCACTCTAGACTAATCATTAGGCTTAGTAGTCATTAGAAAATTCAATGGATTGGCCAACTGGCAAAATGAAAGGATAAAATTCACCACATAATGAATTTGAACTTTATGGTCAACAAGCATCAAAATGCAATAATTAAAAATGTATAAATTATTTTCAAATAAAATTGATTTGATCATCGAAACATCTAATACCACATGAACAACCAATTGATTATAGAATAATTCAACTTGTTAACATTAATTCAAATATGCATTTTATACAGTTCACTAAACACATAGGAGATCAAGATCGATTACCAATCTCATCATCATCACCACATTTGAAGTTATGAACGAGAATCTTCAAAATATTGTATAGGACCTCATTCAAACGAATTTTAATCCCACAGACTGTTCTAACATTCTAAAGATCCCAATACTTAGACAACCTGCTGAGGATAAGAGGATCTGGGGAAAGGAAAGAACGGGGGAGTATTCAGTGAAGTTTGCCTATAGATTGCGGGAAGAGAGGAACATGGAGCTGGAGGTTGAGCCCTACTCGCCACTAAATTGGAAGAAGGTCTGGAACCTACAGATTCCACCGAAAGTGAAGGTTTTCGCTTGGCGATGGCTGCATAACATCATCCCTACGAAGTTTTGAATCCTAAAACGTACTCATCAGGGAAGTGATGACTGCCCCTTTTGCAGGCTAGTGGAAACCCAAGACCACATCTTTCGGGAATGCGCTTGGGTTCGAAGGTTTTGGCGATATAGCACAATGGACGCATTCATAGACAGAGGAGAAAACCTTACCTCAGAGGAATGGTTTTGTGAGTTGCAGGAGACAGAATCGGAGGACCAAATCGGATCCTTTCTGGTGGGCCTCTGGTACATCTGAGATCAGCGGAACTGTCACATGTGGAACAAGAAGAAATTAGAGGAATGGGAAATACTACCTCGAGCTAGTGACTGGCTACAGGATTACCTAGCGAAGCAGACGAAGCCCGAACCAATGTTGCGAACGGCGGAGCAGAAATGGAAACCTCCGATGACTGGGTCCGTGAAGATCAATGTCGATGCTGCGGTTTTCGATGGCCAAGGAACGGAATGGGGAATGGTGGCTAGGGATGGGATTGGTAATTTTCTCTTCGGAGCGGTGAAACGATCGCGGAGAAAGTGGAACCCGGAGGAGGCAGAGGTGATGGCGGTAGATTTCGGCCTGGAAATGGCGAGACAAAGGGGAATTGGGGAAATGGAGGTGGAATCCGACTGCCTGGGTGTTGTTCAACAGCTGAGAAAGGAGGAGAGAAGGGAAACAGAAATTGGGCTGATGTGTGAAGAGATTCGGATTAAAGCCCAGATGTTTGATGAAGTTCGCTGGAGCTTCGTGGGCCGCAATGGCAACAGACCGGCCCATCTGGAGTGTAGTTGGAATAGTGAAGAGGTTTGGGTCACTAACCCACCTCAAGAACTTGTACCTCTCCTTAGAGAGGATGCTTTTGAAAACTCTGATTATCTTGCTTAATTAATAAATACAGTTTTCCCTATAAAAAAGATATTGTATAGGTCGACAGACATGCATGTACGTAACTTCAAGAAAATGAAGCACACTTTCACACGAACCTGTTTCATTTATAGATTTTACGTTCCAAACTCATTAATCATCCATGCCAGGGGCGGAGACACAGTGTTAGAAGGGTGTGCCATGGCACACCCTTGGGTCGGGGCAAGAACATTAAAAAATAGGGGTATAAGTTTATGTTATAGCTAGGATTTGAACATGGAACCCCCTTACTATTAGCTTTGACATCTTCCACTAAACAACAATTACTTACATGATACAATAATACGTTTTATTGCATATATATAATTTACGGTTTACAAATAATAAGTAAATTAAATTAAAAAACCTCATAATTACATGCTTATTCAAGAAGTAAACGAATGTATTTTACAGACTTTTCAAAATATGAAAACCCGTCGTGGGTCACTATAAAAAATTGATAGTCATTTTAATTTTTTTAAATTGGCACCCCCTTACTCAAAATCCTGGCTACGCCACTGATCCATGCAAGTATTACAATATGCCCATCATTCGTAACCACATGGCTAAAGCACGAAACGCGCAAATAACTCGTATCCATATATATAAAAAAAAAAAACACAAACAAATTTCCTACGTACGTTATTCCTTTACGTTTAAGAGCCATCCATTAACACTAAACAGAAAAGAACGATACCCAATTTCCCTTTCCTTCCCATCTCCACCATAACAAAGAAAGAAAACCAAAATCCTCACCATATGGTCATCACTCTTTCCCTGATCCCCATTTCCCCTTCATCACCACCAAGAAAGAAAAAATGGCTTCTTCCCTTCCCACCACCAAACCCACCAACGATCAGAACTTCCACATCGTGATGTTCCCGTGGCTCGCCGCCGGCCACATAACCCCGTTCCTCCACCTCTCCAACGACCTCGCCGGCCGGGGCTTCACGATCACGTTCATCACCCCACAAAAAGCCATCGACCGGCTCGGCCACCTCAACCGCCACCCGAACCTCATCACCTTCCACCCGCTCACCCTCCCTCCCGTCGACGGCCTCCCCGCCGGCGTCGAGACCGCCTCCGAGGTCCCCATCGAGCTCACCCACTTCCTCTGCGTCGCCATGGACCGCACGCGCGACCAGGTCGAGGCCGTCGTGCGCGGCACGCGCGCCAAGCTGGTGGTGTTCGACATGGCGCACTGGGTGCCCGACATCACGCGCCCGCTCGGGATCAGGAGCGTGAACTACACGGTCCTGGGCGCGTCGGCCATCGCCATCGTGCTGGTCCCCGCGCGTGGGCTGGAGAAGGGGAAGGTGCTGACGGAGGATGAGCTGGCGGTTCCTCCTCCCGGCTACCCTTCCTCCACCGTGGTGCTCCGCCGCGGGTACGAGGCCGGGTTGCTAGGGTTTCTGTTCATGCCGTACGGTGAAGCGACGACGTTTTGGGAGAGGATAAGTTTGGGGATGAAGGGATGCGACGCGTTGGCGATGAGGACGTGTGAAGAGATTGAAGGGAAGTTGTGTGGGTACTTGGGCGAGCAGTACGACAAACCGGTTTTTCTCACTGGTCCGGTCCTGCCCGAACCGAGCGAGGACCGGTTGGAAGTCGACCGGTGGGCGAAATGGTTGGGGAGGTTCGAACCGGGTTCGGTCGTTTTCTGCGCGTTCGGGAGTCAGGTGTTTCTGGAGAGGGATCAGTTTCAGGAGCTCGTCCTCGGGTTCGAGCTGTCGGGGCACCCGTTTCTGGTGGCGCTGAAGCCGCCATTTGGGGCGTCGACGACCGAGGAAGCGCTTCCGGAAGGGTTCGAGGAGAGGGTGAAGGGGAGAGGGATCGTGACCGGGGAATGGGTTGAGCAGGTGGCGATACTGAACCACCCGTCGGTTGGGTGTTTCGTGAACCACTGTGGGTTCGGTTCGATGTGGGAGTCGTTGACGAGTCGGTGCCAGATAGTGATGGTCCCCCATTTGGCGGACCAGGTTTTGAACACGAGGTTGATGGCTGGGGAGCTGAGAGTTGGGTTGGAGGTTGAGAGAGGTGAGAAGGGTTGGGTTTCCAAGGAGAAGGTGAGTGAAGCAATTCAATGTGTAATGAATAGTGGCAATGAGTTGGGTTGTTCACTAAGGGAGAATCATGAGAAATGGAGAGGTGTGTTTTCTGATCCGGGTTTCATGTCGAGGTACATAGATAAGTTTGTTCAAAATGTGAATGAACTTGTCAAGTCGTGAGGTTCCTCTATGATTTTCTCTTGTTATCCTCTCCCATTGTGTTGTTTCCTTTTAATGTATGTTGTAATTCTATGTACTCAAACAAAATATGTATATATGTTGTATTTCTATACATTTTGATTTGAAAGGAATTGTAGAGTAATTGTAAAGTTGAATTAAAGTTAATTCGGTTGTTCAAGATAATTATCTTTATTATTTGATAACGTGTCGTTAGCAATTATCCTTTATTTGTTATTTCACTATACGATACATTGGATTTATCGATGAGACACTTCATATTATTCTTATTCTCGGAGATAAGACAACATTATGAAATTGTCTTTTTTCACGAGAGAGAATAAAGAGATCGTGAGAAACCTTCATTTAAAAACACACATGAAAATACATGTTTATTGTGTAATACACATAAAAATACGTATAGTATTCTCGTGTTGATTAGCTTATTTTGAGAGAAAAAAAAATCTTCATTTTCAACTCAGAGATATCCTCAGGCTCTATGAAAAGGAATCAGGCCAAAAGGTCAATCTATAGAAATCAGACCTCACATTCAGCCCGAATGTGGAAACTAGTCAACGAGCAAGACTGGCAGGGGTACTAGGGATGAAGGAAGTGGAAGAACACACGAAATACCTTGGTATGCCTACCATTATTGGAAGAGAAAAGAAATCGACATTTGGGGTTTTAGTGGACAAGGTCAGGAAGAAGATAAAGCATGGAAGAGCCAGACCCTATCGAATGCAGCAAAAGAAGTACTAATTAAGGTAGTTGCTTAGGCACAAGCAACTTACACAATGTCTGTTTTCCTTGTGCCTGATGTGGTGCTTGATGAGCTGAAGAGTGCTATCCTCAATTTTTGGTGGGGACAGAAGGAGGAGAAGAGGATTCCTTGGAAAGCCTGGGATAAGCTGTGCGAGCCAAAAGAAGCAGGGGGTTGGGATTCAGGGATCTTAAGGTTTTTAACCTCGCCTTACTAGGGAAGCAAATCTGGAACCTTATGCAAAATCCGGATTCCCTAGTAGCCCAAGTGCTACAAGCTAAGTATTACCCTAGTAGTGACATCCTACATGCTAGAGTTGGGTACAATCCAAGCTATGTATGGAGAAGTCTGATGGCAGCCCAGGAACTGGTGAGAGATGAGATTCGGTGGAGGATAGGAAATGGCACTCAAGTGGAGGTATGGGGGGATAAATGGATCCCAGATGCGGCTGAGGATAATTACTTAATTACTTCGCCAGTATCGCGTTTAGGCCTCCTGGCAAAGGTTTCCACACTGATTGATCACTCAAATAAGCAATGGCGAATGAATGAACTACATCAGAATTTTAATCGAACAGACCGAGCTAGAATCATGGCAATCCCACTGCCAAGGACCCCTCAACAAGATAAGCAGGTGTGGTGTTATGAGAAGAATGGCATCTATACAGCCAGACCGGGATACTGGCCTGGAGACAGAAACAGAAAGAGGAGGATATGGACTCGGACCAGGAGGAATGCTACGACCCTGTGGATTGGAAGAAGATCTGGAAGTTGCCGATACCACCAAAGGCCAGAATGTTCCTATGGCGCTTTCTACAGAACATCCTACCTACGAGGAAAGCAGTAGTGGAGTGCCCCTTCTGTAACCTAGTGGAAATGCAAAAACACATATTTAGGAAATGCTCATTGGTGAGGAGGGTTTGGGCTCCCACATATTTCAGGCCCCTGTTCGAGAAAGGGGAAGAATTATCATGCACAACGTGGTTTTGTGAATTATCAGAGATCATTGAGGAGGAAAGGCTTGCAAAACTGGCTATGATTCCTTGGAATATTTGGAATGAGAGGAATAATCACTTGTTCAATAAGAAGAAGGCGGAGGAGTGGGAGATTGTAGGTCGGGCTTTATCCTATCTAGAGGAATACCAAGCAGTCAAACAGAAGGAGGATGGGAGGGGAGAAATTGTACCTGAGCAATGGAAGAAACCTCCGACGGGCTGGGTAAAAATCAATGTCGACGCAGCAATTATTGCAGGAGAGGGCATAGGGGCGGGCTTGGTGGTGTGCGACTGAAATGGCATGTGTCTGCTAACAGGGGTTCACCGGGATCGCCGCCAGTGGAGACCGGAAATCGCAGAGCTTCAGGCAATCAGCTTCGCGTTGGATGTGGTGGAAATGAAGGGCTATGAGGCGGTGGAGATTGAATCGGACTGTTTGGAAGCGGTCTCGAAGATTAGGAGAGAGACCTCGGCGTTGACAGAGGAGGGAGGCCTATGTGAGGAGATAAGGGCTAAAGCCCAGAGTTTGGGCCAGATCAGGTGGTGTTTTGCAAAAAGAGGCTGTAACATTGCAGCCCATCAGGTAGCCCATATAGATTGTAATTGGGACTCCCAAGAGCTGTGGGAAGACATGCCTCCCAATTTTATCTTACCGCAATTGAATGCGGATTGTAACGCTTCGATGCCATCATAATTAATAAAATCAGGTGTTTGATAAAAAAAAAAAAAAAAACTAGAACACATTAGTTGTGTGTGTGAATCATCGGAGCGTGGTGAGCTAAATTGACGCTAGAGAGTATAGTCTCACATTTATTTCAAGAACACATCGATCTGATTGAATGTGTTATTGTCGAGTCCATTCGAACCTAATTAGTCCATCACCTTAATTTCCTCTATTTTATAATCTAAGAAAATGTAACCATGATTCTATCTATCACATTTTAAAGTTGGACAAGATCTCAAGGGTTGAATTGTTCCTCAATTCAAAGGTTGGGTTGGACAATAAAAACCGGCCCATTAACCAAGTTCGAGGAGAAGAAGACATCAATCAAACAAGTACATGACGCAGAAACAACGTTATTCTCCGCATATACGGTCTAATTTTAATTAATGATTTGCTAAAATTCACAATTTCCCTCTTCCAATCCGCTTCACAATCACATAAATGAAGAAGCCTTTTTGAATAAACACAAAAAAGACCACCCTCCATCTTGTTGTGTGTGGCTTCATTCGTTCTCTCTCTGCAAATCCGCCATTGTCGTCTCCTTGTCTCCCTCTTCCGGGAGACTGATCTCCATCTCTCTCTCTCTCTCTGCATTATTCCGCCCTAAATCTAATTTCCCACCATTCTTTTTTCTCCTTTTTTCGCAAAATTTTTCCTTCCCCTTTTTTATTTTTCATTTCTGTTCTCTTTCCCGTTTGATTTGGGGGTCGCCGATAATTAAAATGGAGAACGGCGTGTCCGAAGATCTCTCAGATTCAATTCAGCGACCAGAATCCTCCGACAATGACCAGCGTGTTTACTTCGTCCCTCTCAGGTCTTCTTCCATCCCCTCTCTCTCTTTGCTAGATTGCATTTCTAATCTGTGGGAATCTTCGACTCGTTCGTCGCCTTCTTGTTCCCGCCTTCCCACCTACAAGGGTTAATGCCTGGTTAATCAAATCTCGGAAATTTGTCTGTGATGGAGGGAGCTGAATGTGTAGATGCTGGGATTGCTCTTGCTCTTGCTCTTGCTCTTGCTCTTCATTGTCGTGTTAGGATGAATTGTAATATGGGGATATTATGATTTGGCCTGGCTGATTTGGGTTTGAATTGGGATGTTCTTAGGTGGTGGAAGGAGACGAATGATTCTGTTGCCGAGGAGGAATCGGATGGGAAGAAAGGGGTTTTGTACACAGCGGCTCAGGCGTCGTCTTCATATGCGAGTCCTATGAAGCTGATAAACACCATGTTCAGCTCGGATCTTTTGCTCAATCTGCGGGGAGAAGAGGATGGTTCATCGCCCAATGGCTGCGAGAATAATGAAGTGGGTGTATCCGGGAGGGACTTCGCCTTGGTGTCCGGGGAAATGTGGGTGAAGGCACTTAAATGGTAAGGGATTTGGATAGATAATCATTTGTTGATCTCTCGTTCGTGTTCAGCGCATTGTGTTTGAGAACAATTGTTACTTTAACCTTTGCTTGCCCTGTTCTTTTCATGAATTCATGCTTGTTTCGAATTGGTTAAACTGCTCCATTGGATTATGTTGTCAAATAGAATGATATTGACGTGCTTATGCACTTGCCCCTCTTTTGTAAGATCTTTGTGATCTAGTATCTCGGTCGTAGAAGTTCTCTTTTTGTTCTTTATGTGGAACTTTATTCATGAATAAATTAGAGCTCCGTAAGCAGTTATCAAGCATTAACTATTGAGAAGTATTTGATTGCTTGACATGTATAGTTAGGTTTTTGTGTGAAGAGGCACTCATGACCTTTCAGTGAGAGATATTATGAGATGTTCTGTTCCTTGCATGCCAATTTGATGTAGATTTGCATGGCAAATTCTTGCATTTAATGAGTTTATTTGTTTGTGATAGTGTAATCATGCTAAATTGATTTCTTGACATAATCCATAAGTGAGTTGATTTACCGCGTTAGGATTTTGTATACTTGTCGTTCCCAGAGATGATTTGACTATCTGCTGAACAAAGCACTAAACTCTACTTGTTTAATGTTATCTTTGACCCTTTTTTGGTCTTATACACACTTGAAGATGTGTCATTCTAAGTTAAGTTCCTCCAGTTATTGATGATATGCTTGCCTCTTTGGTAGTTGCTATGGTACAGACTTCCATAGATATTATTATAAGCTAAAGATGGATGGATCATAAACTTAATGACCGACTGGATGTGCAATTGTGGATATTGACTTATATCTCCTCATTAAGTTAGTTTTGTGAGATGTATCCTCATTTGCTGATCCTGCAAGATTACCTTATTAGACAAAATATCCTATTCCATAATGCGGAGTTTGAAGATGTGAAGAGAGCTTTATTTCCCCCCCAGTAGTTTCACATATTATGTTGTTGCTTCTTTCTTTTTCCTAGGAGGCAGTTCTTGATTATTTTGCAATAGACATGCTATCCTCTTAGAGTCCTCGTGGCCTGAAACCAGCTGTCTGATTCTAATTTCATAATTTTCCATCCAGGCATAGTGATGCTAAGTTATCGACAAAGAAAACAAAGACATTTCTAGCTGCAGAAGATGACATGTCCGATGTGTATCCTTTGCTACTCAGACTCTCGGTACAACCAGAAAGCAGTTCTTTGGGAGTGAAAATTACCAAAAAGGTGAGGAATATGGGCCATCTTTTTGGTTTTCAATTTCAAGGACAAAGCAATGATATGGATGCTGCATTTTGATCAGCAAAAATGACCCATTAGTACTAATAAGCAGTGATTTGCACATAATTACTGATACCACACATGCGACGTAGCAGTTGTTTGCTGTTATTCGGATAAATTCGGAATTAGAACCCCTGTGGTATAAAAGTGTATAAGGGCTTTGGCTTACTAGCTAACAAAACTCAGCCAGCTTATTTATTTAATTAGTATTGAAATACTGAAGGTTGCCCTACCCCTCTCAAACTCACTACTAAAGTATGCACATATATTGACAATCACGATAATTTCAATCGACTGAAGTTGGCAGTTTATTTAATTACAACTTTGCTGGGGTTTATTTTTCCTATGTTAATATATTTCCTAATAATATTTTCAGGACAATGGGCCTGAATTTTTCAGAAGAGCAAATAAGATCTTCACTGCAGATTCTGAGATGGTTAGTAAGAATTTCAACCAGAATTCACCATTCATAAAAAAGTAAGAATTTCAACTTGTTGATGCATTTGATGAGATGCTTCAATGACTAGACTCCTACCATTATGCAGTTGCGGATTTGGGACTTTTCTGAACAGACAGCTCTACTTTCCATGCTTGGCCAATGTAGATCTCCAAAAGATAGTCCGCGACAGTCAGATGAGGAGGTATGTGACTTATTATTTTTGGTGGATCCTTGTTATTGCCAAGATATATACATGATCGTTTGATGAATCCAGTAAATTTAGTAACTCTATGCTGTTCAACTGGGCATGCAATGGCCCCCATCAAAGCTTGGCCAGTACTACCCCGGAGTAGGGTCTGGGATCTGGGTTTTAGGGTTGTATTTTATCATTTCCAGATTGCATTTATATCATCTTTTAATTAAAAGAAGCTCTTTTTTCCCTTCTATTCAAGCCAATACAAGCTGCAACATGTGTTATCCTTGTGTGTAGGTTATCCTGGAACTACAAGTATATGGGTTATCTGATAACACAAAGTCTAGAGAAGGGAAAAATGGGGCTGCACAATATTCGAATGGGACATATTCTTCTGCTCCACTCATGAATGGTATGAATGGTAGCGTGTCCACTGGCATGTTTCGTAGTAGCTCTGCCATCTTTGGAAGATCCAGTGAAGTTGGTTCATTGGGTTTGACGGGATTGCAGAATCTTGGAAATACTTGCTTCATGAATAGTGCCATCCAGTGCTTGGCACACACGCCAAAGCTTGTAGACTATTTCCTTGGAGATTATTGTAGAGAAATAAATCACCACAATCCTCTGGGAATGGATGTAAGCTACCTATTCATTTGTCATCATTCTGGTTTGAGTTATCATAGCTGTTTGGGTGGTGATACCCCACCTACAATCTCTATGCTTGAAAGATTGCTGTACGTGCATTATGGTATAGGACAGTGTAACAATAGGAAAACTGTTTTCACCAGGGTGAGATAGCCTTAGCTTTTGGAGAGTTGATACGAAAACTATGGGCACCTGGAGCAGGGTCGGTGAATCCAAAAACATTCAAGTCAAAGCTGGGTCGATTTGCTCCTCAATTCAGTGGCTTCAATCAACATGATTCTCAGGTTTCTTAGTCTCTCTAATATTTTCTGCATTCCATGTGTCTATGTTTTATGTTTGACAAGATCTTTTGTTGCAGGAGCTTCTTGCTTTTTTATTGGATGGCCTTCATGAAGATCTTAATCGTGTGAAATCCAAGCCGTATGTTGAAGCCAAGGATGGAGATGGACGACCAGATTCAGAAGTAGCTGATGAGTATTGGCGCAATCATCTGGCTCGCAATGATTCCATTATTGTTGATATTTGTCAAGTAACGTCTCCCATTCCTCCTTATTTTAGTAAATATATTCTCCCCTTAATTTGCATATGATACTGAAATAGTAATGTTTCCTCGTTTCAATTCTTTGCTCTATATTGGTTGAATTTATGGAATATGAACAAATTGGCTGGTCTGATAGTCTTGTAGTGTATATAGCCCTTGGACTTCTTTAAATTGTAATTATAATGGACACGGAATTAACTTGCGGTCAAAATTGTAGGACTAATATATGGTAATTAAATTTCGTGTTATGGCATGGATATCGTAGCAAGAGACGTGACATGAGTAGCTAGTAGCTACTGAAACTAGACTATTTCGGCAGAGGCGCAATTTGAACTGGAAAATTTCCTTTATTCTTAGAACTTTTTATCTCAAATCTGTAGTTAATTATTAATTTGATGAGTGACCTGCTTAATTTTGTTTGCAGGGACAATATAAATCAACATTAGTTTGCCCTATATGCAAAAAGGTTTCTATTATGTTTGATCCCTTCATGTACCTATCTCTACCGCTGCCCTCTACAAGCATTAGGACAATGACTCTGACGATTATAAGTACAGATGGAAGTATTCCGCCTGCCCCATGTACAATTTCTGTCCCAAAGTTTGGAAAGTTTGAAGATCTTATCCAGGCTCTAACTGCTTCGTGCTCTTTAGGAGATGACGAGACTCTATTGGTAGCGGAGGTGATTTACGTTGCTTTTTGTATTCTATGAATCTATTACGTTACTGTTGCATTTTATGGGTTCAGATGGCGAAAATATAGTGTTCCTGATGCTCTACTCTTCTCTGTCTAGGTATATAACAACCGCATCTTAAGATATCTGGAGGATCCAAGTGATTCTTTAACTTTAATCAGGGATGGTGACCGACTTGTTGCTTATCGGTTAAAGAAGGATTTCAGCAGCAATGGCCCTCTGGTTATATTTATGCACCAGCATGTGGAGGAGTAAGTTATCTTTGCTTTATACATCCCCCATTAATGTTGTAGTACATTGAATCTACTATTCCATATCTGGGTAATGGTTTTCTGGTTGATGGGAGTCTACTGCTATATTGTTGATCTTGATGATAGGTTTTAATAAGATTCTTTCAGCTTTGGACGTGGAAAATAACTAATATTTATCACTTGTTTGTTAGGATATGAGATTTGGAAATTTAGAAATAATATAGTGATTGGTAACACTTGTAAAAAGTAGATTTGATAGGATGCGATAATTTTGGCAGATAAAAAATAGCAGTTGAGATGCGAGATATTCTGTAGCTGTCCAAAGTTTAGGAAAATTATGGTATTAATGATTTTTTTGTCTAATGACTATAATTAGCAGAATGGATTCTCTTTGTAACAGGTGAAATGGGAAACAAAATTTCAGGAATGGGGCTACTTTATAGGTTAACAGTTTGTATACCCACCTTGAATGAGAGTTAGGACCAAAGTCTTAGTCTTTTAGATATCGGTTAAGAAATATTTTTGTTTGAGCTATATCTACAACTTAAGTTTTAACATCTGAAGATGAATTAGACATAGACAGCGAATCAAGGTTCTTTACCTGACCAAAGATAAAAGTGATGGCATGTTTGTCTTCTTCGTGTTCCATAAGCCAATATAACTACTAACAGATTTGCTAATGTCAGGCAGTTCATCCATGGGAAACAGACTTCAACGATGAAGCCATTTGGAATTCCTCTTGTTGGGGAGGGCTCTGTCTCTTTCAATGGATCTGACATCCATAAATTGTACTTGAAGTTGCTCGCTCCGTTTCAAAGGCCTACTGATGGAATTCCGGATCAAATTGCCGACTCTAAAAGTATTACTCTTAGTGAGGAATCGACTGAGCATTATCAAAAAGACAATGACGAAGCGACTGAGAGGCAGGACAATAGTGCTTGCTCTAGTGGAACTGCTCCAGATGACTCCCCTTTGGATGCTGAACTCGACTTTTATTTGACGGACGAGAAGGGTTTTCTTAAGGACTCCAAGATAGTTACGGATGAGCAAGTGCCAATTACTGGGGCTCCTAGGCGGTTCTTTGTGATTGCTTGCTGGGCTGGGAAACAAATGGAAAAACAGTATGACACATCGCGTCTCAGCACATTACCAGAGGTTTTCAAATCTGGATCTTTTGCAAAGAGACCACAGGAATCCGTTTCACTTTATAGCTGCCTTGAAGCATTTTTGAAGGAGGAACCTCTTGGCCCAGAAGACATGTGGTTAGTGATTATGATTACTCAGAAAACATAGCGTTGAAGTTCCCTTTCTAGTGTCACTTACTATTATATGTGACCCTTTAGGTACTGTCCTGGTTGCAAGGAGCATCGTCAAGCCAGCAAAAAACTGGATCTCTGGAGGCTACCAGAGATCCTGGTAATTCATCTAAAAAGATTTTCATACACCCGGTACTTGAAGAACAAGCTAGAGACGTTTGTGGACTTTCCTACTGATGATCTTGATTTGGCAACGTACATTTCTTACAAGAACGGGCAAACATCTCACCGCTATGTTCTCTATGCCATCAGTAATCACTTTGGAAGCATGGGAGGTGGTCATTACACCGCATTTGTCCATGTAAGTGATGCCTCCTCTAGTTAATAACTTAGTTTTATCTATTTTGTTTCTCGCACAACAGCACAAATGAAAATATGACAAATTATTGGAAGTTCCAATGAACTTGAAAGTTCTCTTATAAATATTTGCTCTCTAATGTGCATTTTGTTTGAACTTCCCTTGAAGAAGGTTTGGACATTATTTATAAACTTAGAATGATAGTTTAGGATTGAGATATGTGCATAGTATCCAAAGTTGGTGACTGTGGAAAATATATCTTCATAATTTCTTTGCAGCATGGGGGTGACCAGTGGTACGACTTCGACGATAGCCACGTTCATCCGGTGAGCCAGGACAAAATCAAGACTTCAGCTGCTTATGTTCTTTTCTACAGAAGAGTTGAAGTGTGATGGAGATTAAACTAAGGCCGAGAGCAACATAGAGGCTAGTCTCATCATTAACAGTTTTTTTTCTCCTTCTCCTTCTTAGGACTACAGATGGAAACCCAATTCTTTGTTCTTACCATTAATTTTGACAGTCTTATTGAACGGGGGAGGATATGTAACCTGAACTAGGTGCGCAGGAGATGACTGTATCATAGGATCAAGCAAAAGAGTATACATGAAAAGGGTTCGCTTTTCAGACTTCACATACCTGTAGCCAACATTAGTGGAAGAAAAAAGTTTTCTTAAGAAGTTGATTTTAGATCCTCTTTTAACTGTGGTTTAGTTGCCAATTCTTTCTCTAGTGTTCATGAGTTTCTATACCTGTAAAACTCGTGATCGATCTCGAGTGCTAGATAATTCTGGACATTGGTGGCTAGTCAGCTATGTACCATTTCAGAGATTGCACTGGAACTTTAATGTTATACAGAACCAGATCAGGGGGACAGAAGGATTATATTATTTGCCCAAAGTTCATGGCCTTGTTTTCAGGTCATTCAGCTGAAGTAGCCAAAGATGAATGATTCTTTGGTCGTCTACTTCAGACCTTAAAAATGGGTCATGAAGCCTACCTTTTAAATCACATATTGATGATCATGCTTGTATAAGTATTGTCTCGAGTTTGTTACGAACCTTGCTAGATTGATCTCTGATACGATTTTACATACCTAATTTAGAAGTTTCTGATAGAGCGGAAAATGAAGAAAGTTGGGCCCAACTAGGATATAGAATTGAGTTGTAGTGTTCTAGAGGAGCACTATAATGTTGTAAGTGGCAAACAGAGGGGTTTCATATGCACTGAATGTGGAGGAAAATCTTGGAGAATGAAGGAAAGGAAGAAAACAGAGATGGAACAAATAAAGTGCAAGTAGATGAGTAATTAAGAAGTGCTGAAAAGCATGGTGGTGGTGGTGTGAAAGCTTGAAATGAAGGGTTAGGACCACACTAGTTGTCTTTCCTGGTTTTGTGCAAAAAACTGATGTGACCTAACCAACCCTTTTCTCTTCTGCACTTTTGATTGCTCCTTCCATAGTACCATGGTACTTCTAGGTTGGCATTTGTCAAGCCCCATCAATGACCATCTCTAATTTGCTTGGTCCCTGCTAGTTATCGGTTCGGCTACGTTGCTGAGGGTCCTCTCTTGCCGTTGCTGAGGGTCCTCTCTTGCCGCGCCCGCAGGCATCTATTAGGTGTACAAGATATTATTGAACTGTTGGATAAGGTGCATATACATATTTACAATTATCAAGGATGATAGATGATAAAATTCATATGCGTCCAACGGTCCTAACAGCGAGGTTGCATGCACCTCAATGTAGTCATGCTCGTCTGATCATTATTATTCTCTCTCTTACTTAGCACTTGATATGATCGTAGCCATGATCTCTTCTTTGTTACAATAGACTTTCTTACCCTAGCTAAATGGGTAACTTTAAGCATAGTTCAATGGCTCTATAATTGACCATTGATATATGAGTCTATAAGCATCTTCTATATCTTGTAGAGAATAACTTCTTTACCAACACAAGGAAAGAAGAACAAAAAGGGATGTATACTAATTTAGGAAAGAGTGAGGAGGACCATCCAATTCGAGACATGCATAGGCTTTTGATTTGAGTCAATAGTGGTGGCTATTAGTATTAGTTGGTTGTTGATTGGTTGGGGGAATTGGCACATGTGAGGTGCCATATTGGATTTGCTAGAAATGAGCTTTCTAAAGATTAGGGGGAAAACTGGAAAGAGTAATGTGCCTCTCCAACAAAACTTCCTAGAGTGAACAAACCCATGTGTTTGTATGAATATATGTTGTTTGAATCTCTTAAATATAATGGAAATTCCAAAAAAAGTTGGGTAAAGTTACAACTTATGTTTTGTATAGTTATTAATTAAACCATGACTAATCACAATACAAGATCATTAAATAACTCTACGTTTATTTTTAAAGAAAATCGATGAAAATTGAATAGAAAACTTAATTGATTGACACAATTTGAACAATATAAGATACTTGTAACCCTTTTCTAAAACAAGTATAACCATCTTAAACATATTTCTGAATGTCTTCCCAATGAAAGGACCAATCAATATACAAGAAATCTCCCCTTGGGTTTCCTAGATAAGGCTTTTCTTTCCTCAATAGGAAAAAGGGGTTTCCAACACAAAACAAACATGCCATATAGATAGCTTAAGCTTCTCCTAAATTTTGGAAAACTCTAACCATGTAGATATTTACAGTCACAAATCAGTGCTAATCCAACAATTCTCCCAACTAAAATTCATCACTCACTGTACTTATAGTTTCTTATTTCTCGCCCGAGCGCATATTATATGATCATCATTCATTTATCAGCTGAAATCAGATTGTTCTCCACTATCAAAATCTACAACGTAACTCTAACTTTCGTGTGTACATTAGATAATTTATCGTCACACTATATGCAGTCTAATCACAATTTCATGGACTACACAAGAATTTATGTTTATGTTTAATCTGAATACAATCTTTGAATATCAACCCGCCAAGCGCCAACTATCTCTAACTCCGACCGTCTTAACGAATCACAACTTCGGAATCTCACTCAATAGTAACACCATAAATCTGGAAATTACACATATCATGTGAGTTGGGATAAAGTAATATGGAGAAAGGGAGGCAAATGTTGGTGGGGAAATCTAAGAAAGGAGGAGTGGTGGTGGGCAAAATTTTCATAAAGACCTAGCTTACCTTATTTCTTCCCCTTGCCAAAAAGAAAAAGAGGGGCAAAAAAGCTAAGGTGTGGGCTTCTGCTGCGCCATGGTTGGCTGTGGGGACAGATTGATTGATAGATAGATAGACAGCCAAACGAGAAAATGTAATGTCAAGAAAACACTGACTCACTGACCCTTTACCTCTGTCTCTCTGTGCCTTCTTTCTCTTGCTTTTCTGCTGCTGCACACCCTCTGAAAACCCTAGCCAGAGCAATATAATTAAGCATGGCTGGCTGGTTGGATTTATACGTATGTACTCATTCATTCATCATTACGATTTACACCCCCATTCCATTCATTCATCCATTCATTCAAACATTTAATGTCGATTGCGTCCATCCAACGATCGTGAAAACGCGGGATACCCTACAGTGTCGTCCCAGCGTGCAAGGGAGGTCGATCCAACGGTCGCGAAACGCCCAATCAATACATGTGAAACTGTTGTGAATATTGTTGTAATAATGGTTACTTATACTTGCAACTGCATGATTTGACATATCAGATTCTGTGCTGTCAGCCCTGCAGCCCCCATCTATTCCAACAAGACCTGCTTGCTCCAACAGTAACCATCACCAAGCATTGTCTTCCCCACCCACCCCACAATTCATTACTCCCCAAATATGGTCCTACTTACCAATCTGGTCTTGTGAATTGATTCATAAAAAATATTGAAAAATAAAATTAAACATGGAATCAAAATTACTTAGTCTGAAACGAATGTGAAAACGGGAAGAAAAAAAAAATCTCAGAATTACGAAATTCGAACCAACCACTTTAAAGTTGTATTGATGACCTAGTTGTATGAATGTGCAAATGATATGGTTTTGGACATGAGAACGATCCTAATCGACAATCCGATATACTACATATATATGATCGATAATGCATGCAACAAATTTTTTTTTTTTTTGAACGATTCGTTTGGTAATTATCTCTTAGCGTAGCAGTATGTAGCATTTGTCACGCAATGAAATATTGTTTTCTCACGTTTTCAAACAAATTTTTTTCTCAAATCCAAACCCAACCATTTTCTTTCAGTTTGTTCATCATGAATCTAACTTTTCAATTGAAACTTTTCCAACTAATTGAATAGCCATGAATGGTGGGTTCTTAGGACAATATATATCTCTAATGTCGTTCACGTAAGCATGACCTATTTGGTGATCAGAAAAAGCCCTATGTGAATTATGTGACATTGTATGGAATGGAACGTGAGCCTAATTAATTAACAGTATTAATGTAGCTTAACAGTATCGCCATGAATGATCACGACATGGCGGCTAAATAGTTTTTTTATCTTATACCCTTAGGGCAACGACCATTCATCTACATAACACATGCACATTATAATGCACAACGATTTCCAACTATTCCGGATTAATTAGGTATGAAAGGTAATAAGTAGCACTTTGAGGTTGGTAAGAATAGAGTCTCACATGCACTAACAAATTAAGTCGTGACTATATTAATATATGGAGTCAAAACAACATAAATATGTGTCGATACTGAAACGAATTAAGATATAACGATCAAGAATGCATCACAATAAAATGCATCCTGCCAATCAGGACGGAATTTATCGAAATTTTAGAGGTTGGAATTCATAATTTACTAGTGGGATTGCACTTAACAAAAGATTCTGTTTTTTTACATGCTAAGGAAGCGGATTTACATAGAAAAGGAAAAAAAAAACAATTACGGCTATCAGTTTGGTTTTGATTTTTCGATTTTAACGGAAACTACTCTGATAAGAAGTTTAATGATTTTTATTTTTTTTAATCCGTTGAGCATTTTAATGATTTTGGTTTTCGGTTAAAATCAATAACATTCTAACTAATCCAATACCCGTCAACAATACGCGATCTCACCAACTTATGTATAATAGACTTCTTTCCTATTTTCATATTTCTTGTTGTCTTTTCTTACTCCACTTTTGAACTTGTCAAACTATTAGTTTGCTTTTTGGTTTATCCAAACCAAACCAAAACCATTAAGAAACTTATTGCTTTTTCGGTTAAACAATAATTAACAAGGCTCTTAACTAGTGATGGCAATGGGGCAGGACAGGGTGGGTACCTCAATACCCATGTCCCGCCCCACGCTAATTCGGGTCGGGACGGACAAAACTTGCGTGGGTACGGCCGGGGCGGGTTGACCTACTCTTATATGTTATTTGAAAAAAAATACACGCAAATTTAATTTTTACGATAAAACGAACGAGAAAATATTTTATAAATGAAAAATAGTGATAATAGAATGAGTAATTGAGTCTAACAAGTTGAAATATTGACTCTAACCAGTTGAAAGAAAAGTCAAAATATGAGAAAGAAATATGTATAGATACCGTAAAACATTGAGATAAAATGGGCTAAGAACGGGACGTCTGAGCAGGGAAGGGCAGGTCGGAAGCAGATATCCATGCCTCGCCCCCCACGCTAGTGCAGGTCGGGTAATACCCGCGCGCCGGGAAGGTTATGTGGAAAAAGGAAGAAGAGAAATATTACTGCGGATTGCACAAAGAACACAAGTGTGCTGCAGTATCCTACTTTACCCACCGTGTAATAGACAGAAACGATCGCAACAGCACAACAGAACAAAACTGATACATGGCATGGCAGAGATCCGATCCAAAAAAAAAGAAACAATTCATTGACATGATAGATCAGACACAGTAGCACTACTCCCTCATCATTCTCAGTTCTATTATTTTCCTTTCCTCCCTTTAAGCAGTAAGCAGTAGCTATATAACCTCTCATTTTTATTCTCAATCTCCAACCATAATAGACATTCTTAGTTATTATTGCCCTAATTACATTGAATTTTGAAAGCTGATGAGTCTGGGAGCTGCATGCATGCTATTAACTCTATTATTATTGTTATCTGTTCATGACAAATCTCTCTGAAAGAAGAGAAGTACAGATCACAGGGAGCCATTGAGCTCATGATAAAACCCATTGTCATTGCTGCTGTTGTTATTGGGAGTTTTCTTGTGATGGTTGAGTACTAGTGTGCCAATGTTATGATCATTGATTATATTATCATCATTTGCAGATGATCCTCCATATGCTTGCTGATTTTGATGATGGTGAAAATGGTGGTGGTGGTGGTGATCTCCTAGTTTTGCATGCTTGTTCTTGTTTCCTTCCAGCTTCAGCCCAAAGTGGATGTGAGGGAAATGTGCCCACTGCATCACAAACAAGTGTGGTTTGATTATATATATGGTCCCGGATTTCGTATCGGTTATCGGTGATCCAAATTGAAATCGATGTTATGATTAAATAGCCCTCTCGCTTGTTCCAACAATTGGATGTTTTCCTCACGTAATTAATCGATCTCCCAACATCAACATAAAGCGCAATTGTTATTTCCTGATCTTATAGCTAAACGAATCAAACGATTAATTGGGCGTCGCAAAAACCCTAAAATCGCCCTATCAAACTGAGCCCCAGAACCAGGAGATCAACGGCTATAGCTATTATGCATTTTTGTAGGGCTTGTATGCAAGCCCTAACTGGACCACAAATTTAGTTGTGATACCATGAAGGTGTGGCCAAAAGGAATAGGGACAAAAAAACAAAACAGAATATTTGTACTCTGTAAGTTCATTTTGGTGGGGAAATAAATAAGCTTTTTTGAAGTATAATGAAACTTTTTCTAATTTTTGCAGAAGCAACATGATGTGAAGATTATAATTAATGCAAAGTAACTCCCACTGATTTGTGATTACAACCCTAATAATCATGATCACTTAATAATTGACGATCATCAACGTAATGATTAAATAGGAGAGACTTACATTTTTAGCTGCGGTGCTGAAAGCTTCTCTGTGGCTGATTTCAGGATTACTTGCTTTAATCCTTTGGATCTCCTCCCTAATTAATCATGATAATTAGTAATTAAATCATCATGATTATCTCTAGTTAAGTTAACTTATACTTCGATTGCAAGAAAAGCGAGCAAAGGCGGGAGGAAAGCGAATGTTTAACTCACTTGATGAACCTGTTATATGCAGAAGGAACCCGTTGTCGCTTCTCTGGAGCTGAATTCATTAATTTTTGCACATTATCAATTTCTCAACATGCATACAAACAGAAAAAAAATTAAAAAAACTGATTAAAAATAAAAAAATATAACTATGCAAATGAGAAGAAAATCGAGAGCGCCTCATGCGAATTTGCTTTTTCTATAGCTCGGTTATTATATTGAGAAGGGTTTCCGCGAAAGTATAGTGATATTAATAACTAATTAAATTGCACGTAGGATGTGATACTAAATTCGCAACAAATTATTGCATCCGAGCGAGGGAGGAATATTATTCATAAAATTATCATTCTACCAACTCCTTTTGAAATTCTATCATGTACATAATTGAAATGCGTACGGTTGGGCCCTAATTAGCATATATACTGATATTAATTCGCATACTAGGTCGAAGTAAACTTGTAATTCTTTCTCATGCATGATATATATTTTTTTTTTTGCAGTAACAAAATTTCAAAATCGACCGATTATTAAGAATGTTGTATGCAACCGGACTCGCCCGCGATGAATGGAATATGTTTTGTCACGACGTGGACAGCTCTGCTAAATCTCCAAAACACACACAGAATAAAAACACGAAACAAAGAAAATGCCTGCATGATTTGGTGGACTAGTACTCACGGCGGATGGGAGGGAGCCTAGGAGGTTCGTGGAGGTGATGATTATCCACCCAACTGTACTCCAACGACGGCGACGGCGGAGACACCGCCACCACCACCTGCTGCTGCTTGCCGCTGTTGTTGCTGCTGCTGCCGCTGCTGCTGTACTTGGACGAAGAAGATGATCCGGACGTCGAGCCGCCACAGTCTTTCGATGATGAGTTGTTATTAACGTTGGTGTTGCTGAGCCCTTCCTCAAACCCTAATGGCTCCTTCTCAGCCTACACAGATAAAAATGGTACACTTGCAACTCATTTAACACATTACAACATGTGCATAAGGACGACAATAGTGATCCAAATTAACCAACCTGGTGAGGGAGAGATGCTGCTGTTGCAGCGTTTGGTTGAGGATTGGGGAGGAAGGAGGAGTTGTTATTATTATTATTAGTAGGGTAAAGAGAAGGAGTTGGCGATGGTGGTGGGGCTCCCATGAAACTTGCCATGTTGACTGACAGCAAATTGGCGCAATGCCCGCATCTCACTGTTACCATTGTGTACATGCTGCTGCTTGGCACACTCACCTGCACCAAAAACCCCCACTTCCAAAATGAACATCATTTGCAAGCTATGTAACAAAAACACAAACCAGACGAACAAAGGGTTTGGTCTAGTGATATTATTACTGGAACTGTTTTCGACCCATCGGTGATGTAACATACATACAATACAGCAAATATCACCTACCTAACTGGAGTACAATGTGAACTTCTGTTTTGGACCTTCTGCAGAAAGCAGTCACACATTTAAAGTTACTGGGTTGATGTGAAAATTTTGTATATGGAAGTTTTGGAGAGTAAAGTACACATTCTGAACTTTTCGGTGGGCTTTCATTCAAGCTCTCTCCCACCCTGACTTTTTTTTTTTTTTTTTTGGGGTGGTGGTGATGATGAGTGAACAAGATGTAAGCAGGCAGGCTAAGAAATGTAAATGAACAGTGATGGAAAAAAGGACAAAAATGCAAAAGAAGGGTGAGGGTGAGGGAGAAGAGAGAGAGAGAGAGAGGGAGGGAGGAAAGGGACGTGACGGTAACAGAAATGCAGAAGCCACAATGCGCAATTCAATTTATGATATGTAACAAATTATGAGAGTACAGCTTCTGAGTTGAGGCCTGAGGCCCCCAGCTTAGCAGCAGAAAGAGCTAGCAATTGATGAATAAAGAGAAAAAGTGGTCTGGTTCTGGTTTGTGTTTGTCATGGTCCAGTCGTTGTAGACTTGTAGTGTGTGTATATACATATGTAATATCAAACAAATATATATATATATATATATATATATATATATAATATGCATTATAAGCATATATGAAAGGAGATAGCTAGCTAGCTGATGATGATCAGGGAATCAGAAACAGGCCCAAGCATGGCAAAAACTACTACATACAATATTACAAATGCCCTTTTCATTTCTTTTTGGGGTGGTAAGGAAATGGGCAAAAAGAGAGAGAAGAAATTATGGGTCTTGATAAATTTGCTGCTTTTCATATTATGATGATAAAAGAGGGAGGGAGGGAGGGAAAAAGGGGATGGCTGTAATTTTTTTTTCTGCAGAAAGCATGCATTGGAACACAAGCTGGGTAATATGGGTTGTTATTGCTTGCTATAAAATTAAGGTCCCCAGATTCAAAGAAAGAGATCTTAATTAGGATCCAAAGAAGCAAGATTATGGTAATGAATTGTAGGCAATTAGAATGAAATTAAGATGATGGATTAGGAAAACCATAGTGATTAGCTAGTTAGACCTAGATAAGGATCATTTCCATAATATAACTTGCAATTATTAAGCTTAAATGAAAAAACCCATTTCAACCCAGATTCCAATTTTTTTTTTTTTTTGTGTGATGATAAGAAATGAGTGAAGGCAGTAGTGGATCCATCCATCCATGTATCAGAATTCCTTCCTCCTCGCATCCCAATACAATTCTTTTTTCTAGGGCCCTTACCTCTATCTATCTAGCTACCCTCTCTCTCTCTTTTTGTTTTGTATAGTAGTACTGCTGCTACCTGCTGCTGCTGGGGATTATCAATTGGGCAAAAGCATGCTCCAATAAACTCCCTCCAAAAACACTTCTTTCTTTTAAAGCATCTGGTTTCCAAGGCTGTTTCTATTCTATACCAAACCCTCCCAAAGACAGAGAAAAAACAAACCAAAACCAAAAGGAAGACTAGTAAAGAGAAAAAGAGATGAGCCGTAGACATGCAGCAGCAGCAGCAGCAGCTAAACTTGCTATAGCTAGATTCTGCACTACTAGGCAGCTGTTTTGTGGTGATGGACTTAAGACAGAGACTGATCATATGAAACCCAAAGGAAAGGAAAGGGGGAAAAAAAGATATAAAGAATGAAAGCAAATAATTGAAGAGTAGTATACCGCTAGAACTGTGTTGCAGAAGTTGCAGTGAACATAACACACTCTCTCGTTAGTACTCGCCGTCCCTACATCACCGGCGGCGGCGGCCACCTGATCCTCCATCCCTTCTTCTTCTTCCTGCTGCTGCTGCTGCTGCTGTTCTTGGTGTGACAGCATACCCAGTTCAGATATTTAATTGGGTTCTCTTCCTTTTTCCCTCTCTCTATGTGTACACAATAAAGATGGAATCTTTCACACTCAGTAGCAGTACTCTGTAGCCCTATTGATGTCCATCGGTTTTCTGCTTGTATGGCGCCATATCCTTTTGTTTTAAGGGGAGAAGAGCTTATAGCTAGGGGTTGTAGGGTGAGTGAGATTTTGGTGTGTGGAGATAACAATTATAACACCAAGAAAGTGAATGAATGAAGGAAGGAAGGAAGGAAGGAAGGAAGGAAGGAAGGAAGCAGAACGGGTACGAAATATAAGATGGAGAGAGAGAGAGAGAATGGTATGGTGGTGATGAGAGGATGGGACTAGACTGGTCGGGAAAGAGTAGAGTAGAGTAGTAAGTAACTCAAACTCACTCACTCACTCGCCCCAAGTTGGAGAGAACTCCCACCGCCATATTTACCTTTCCCCTCCCTAGTCTCTCTCTCTCTCTCTTTCTTTTGGTTCATCTTCCTTTTAGGATTAGGGTTCAATGGGATGTGCAATGGTTCAGTTCGGTTCGGTGTAGATTCAGATCCAGATTGTATGATGATAGAATCTGTCGGAAGGTAAATACAATTTTAGGATATGAAATATTGAACCGGAAGTTTGTTGATTCGTGTTTAAATATCACTCGGCTCTTTTTCTTTAATATTTTAGAAAGTTTGTGGAATCGAGAACCAGATCGTATTTTTATTGGTCTGGTTCGGTTCGATCCGGATGTCGGTTTGACCCGATGTGTAGATCGAATCGATGCATCCAAACAGTTATTAGGGCTCATTGCGAAGTGTGACTTCTAGTGGCTATGATGTCGTTTTGATTGACTTTAGTAATTTAATTTATAACAAACTATATACGACATCTCTTATCTATAAGAACATCCATTACACATGCTAAGCAGCTTCCGTCTTGTACCAATGATGCATGGCAACATATTCAAATCGCATCTCCTCCCATTCTAATTGTATTGAAGACCATGTTACACGACTAACTCAAATGTACATATTACGAAAGATTTTACGAAAACTTGCAGTATCAATCCATTATAGAGATTGTAAGCAACTTTTTTTTTCATTTGTTTACTTTTTAAGCTACGTCTAGGGTTTTCATTTGTACCCAAACTCTCCAGCTTTTATTGAAGAGGACGTCACCCATCAACCCTATGATTATTGACTTTAACTCCTTTCCATACAATATTGATGGCAACATCCTAACCCACACCACCACCCCCTACATTAGTACATAGTTAAAATTAACCTCTTCTAGATTACTATCTTCTTTCAAGTTTGCATGATTTAGTTAGGCATGAAAGTTAAAAGAGTAACAATCAAGTTAGCCAAAATAGTGTGGGAGGTTTTACTTACAGAAGCTTGATAAGTCCCTTTTTGGTACCTGCATTTGGTGAAAAGAACGTAGCTACTAGTTAGGGAGGTTGGACTTGCGACGCTGGTAGATTGATAACAGTTTCGAATCACAAAATATCACGTAGCTGGTTGAAAATAAATAACCGTATGTTCATCATCTGATTACGTAAAATACCCCGTCATTCAACTAGGTATTAGTAAGATTATGAATTCCAGCTTGTGTTCACCACGATTATATAAAAACACTATATAGATTCCAGGTTGTGTATATAGTAAGATTATGAATTCCAAAAGACAAACTATGCACATTCGTTCTTCTTTCCTTGTGTTGTAAAAACAAGGGACAAGAAGCGATTAGCTTTGGGCCTCACATCATAATGAAACAAAGATACGTTCCATAATATGAAGTTCAATGGGCCATTCCACATTCCAAATTATTGGGCTCAAGTTACCAAATGGAGTTGCTTTCAGCCCACCTCATTTTAGCTTGGACTAGCCAGCCCAATATAAGGGCTCGCCGGTTTTATAGCCCATATATGGCCTCATCTCACAAAGTCACAACTTACAACACTCCCTTGTTCATTTTGGTTTCTTCGGCAAAAGTACGTCACAAAATTAGATTAAAAAATGGAAATCTTAAAATATATTAAAGGGGTTTTGGAAAACCACCCCTTCCACGTAAGCCTTCCTGGCTTCTCCGCAGTTTTCGCCTACTCAGACATATTTTTTTTAATATTTCCCCCTTTTCCGTTTTTCTTTCCCATGAATACCTCCTTCGGTTACCTTCTCATCTTTTGTCATTTTTTTGTGAGAATTAATTCCCAATATTCTCTCTATAAAGGTAAAATCCTCCTTCACAATATTGGATTCTTAATTTTCATTTTTTTCTTTGATACAAATAATATACACGTCCAAAATAATAATAGCTTATGAATTATTTATTATGAATATATGTTTCATAGCCATGCATATATTAAATTAATATACTTTTATATTTGAGTCCATGTCGCATCAAGCCATCAACCCTTGCGGATTTTTTTTTTTTGGGTACACATCCTTGCAGATTTTGTATCTATATATATGAGAATTTTCTCTTATGTAAATTAGAACATTATTGTAACATCTCAATTTTGTAGACATTGCCTACAAACGAATTTGATAATTTTATCACAAGTTCACAAACAGATTAATACTATCATAATGTTTGAAACTTTAATCTATAATTCATGATGTTTTCACTTAACGAGGTAAACCGATATTGAGTAAAGATTTAATAGAATTTTGAACGAATCTCATACTAGCATCACAAAATTTATAATTTAGTCCATCAACTTAAATGGACTAAAATATATTAATAAAATTATATTAATTAATTATTAATAACAATAAAATATATTTTAAACCCTATTTTCCCGTTTAGATCAATTAAAAATGAGATTTACATTCTCTTTCCTTTAATGTATTTTTTTCCAATAGGAGTTCAGATTAACAAAATCCTTTTCTTTTGGATAAAGGGTTTAGGTATATTAATAGAAAAATATCTAAAACTTAGCTTATCTATTTAAAATGCATAAAAATCATACTATTTCTGAAAATTTTCAATATGAAAATTCATTAGGACGAAAATTGTTGGCGTAAAAAAAATTGCCGAGAACAACTGGCTAAGCTCCAAAGTCGACGTGGCATATGCGCTAATCTAAAAATGCTTTATTATTTTTTAAGGTTGGATTTTTTAATATTTATGACTGTAACATAGAAATAATTAATTAAAAAATTGTCATGTAACCTGTTTAACGGTCAACTATATTAGTTGACTGCCACATGAAACATATTTAATAAAAATTGACGGAAAGTGTTCAATGATGAAATAAGAGTTTAAAGTTATTGACCACCAAGAAATTTAATTTTTTTTTGTGTGTCAAACATGAAACAAAATAATAAAATCAATGTCAAATTCGCAATTTTCCAGTATATTATATAAGATATAAAATTCCACTATTTTAATTAGTATTAATCCAATATAGAAAAGTATATTATTATACATCGTATATGTTTATAATCAAATTAACCACTATTTAATGTGTAATGATTAAGAGTTTGAGTTTTTTACTTAAGAAAATGTATTGATTATATTCAATACAGAGAATTATTCACTAAACATTGAGTGATTAATTGAGAAGTTAGATCATATATTAAACCGATATGTAGGTCACACCAAATATATCAAAACTCTCAGAGATTTTAAATATTCAAAATAATTTAAGCACGAGAATCAAATGGATTAATTTAAAAATTAAATGAAACACATCCCGGCCAATCGGCCGGGCATAAATCTAGTAAAAATTATAGTGAAGTTTTATATGCACATATTTTCAGAGTCAATATTGTTAGTAACGATCTACAATCTAATAGGATATTCCACCGGTGTCATTACCGTATCAGTGTTGAAACAAGATTCTATCACCCAAAAAATTTCAATTCCTCGATACTCTATTGTTACAAAGAAACTAATGGACGACCAAGACAAGAAAATGATCGACCGGTTCTTCATTACCTTATCAATATTAGAACAATATTTCATTTGTTACCATTTAACCCGAGTTAATATCAACATAAACATCTACAAATAACCATCTATGAATTAATTTATCACTGTATACCATGTGACCCAAACCACCAAGAAAGACAAGAGAGAGGGGGAAAAATCACTAGCATTATTAACACATCTTAACTATCAAAAAGAAAGCAAAAGGATGACTCGTTCATCTGCAAGCAAAACAAGGAAAAGCATATCCAAACCGATTTGTCGTGCTGAGTGTAGATAATTTGTTTTGTCTATAGTTATTAGTTCGTATAATTCATATTTCTTAAATATGAGTCGTCCTTTGAATGACTCCTTTAATTATATGATACAAATTGTTATCTTAAGAAGCTTAATCCATGAGATACCTGTAGTTGATAAATGGAAGAAAAAACATCATCCAAAGACGAGTATAGTTCTCCTAAGAAAAGTGAATTTCCTTCCTAAAATTCAATGAAAAGTAATGTTTTAACTCCCAATCATACTCTCGAAATGTTTTGACAAATTGTTATTTCTTACCAGGCAGTTCTTCCTTGTTTTGTTTGTTTTCTTGTTTTTGTCAATATCGCGCCTTGTACCCACTACTACCGAACCCTCTTCTTTTAACAAATTACACACTTTAACGTTTCTAGGTAGATGAGAAGGTCTTTCTGGTTGGTCAGCACAATAAATTTGCTCGTTTCCATGGCCGACGTCCCTTCTCTCCAATCTACAAGACCCATCATTCTGGTTTAGGCACGTTGCAAACCTTATAGCAGTTCATTTCTTCCACCATCCAATTCTCCTCCCAACTACCCATTCCACCGGCAGCGGGGAAAAAAGTCTCCAGAATCCTCCCGCTTGCATGGCGCCGACCAGGATTTTCGCCGGGCTGTTCCTTCTCCTCGCCATCTACTGCGCCCTCGACCCATTCGAGCACAGCGCAATCTCCGAGTTCCCTGATTTCGTGTCCCACCCTGTTGAGATGCCGCCGTGGTCGCTGGTTCCCACCGAGAAAGACGAGCTGAACTCGCTGCAGAAGTCGGAAATCAAGTTCCTGGGTCAGATTCAAGGCCCCGAGAGCTTGACCTTCGACCCTCTTGGCCGCGGGCCTTATACTGGCATCGCTGATGGCAGAGTCGTGTTCTGGAATGGCGAGAAATTCGTTGATTTTGCTTACACTTCCAGCAATAGGTCAGTCAGACTATGAATTCAAATTGGGGGTTTCCTAAATTCTTGAGTCCTGGTCTTGTGGAAGGGAAAAAGTTTGTGCCTTTTTCTGGGTTTTTCGATCCTTTGGACGGCCCTTTTGAAGGGTCTTTAAAGGGTTTCTGTTAGCTGAACTCCGATCAATTTGTTTCCAATTTGAATGTTTAGCTGGGCTCAACTGTGTTTTATGGATCATGAACTTTTGACTTTGGTTGACTTAGTAATAATGTATTGGCTATGTTCTGATCTGGGTTTCAGGTCAGCAATATGTGACCCTAAGCCTTCCCCTCTGGGCTACTTGAAGAATGAGCACATCTGTGGCAGGCCATTGGGGATCCGATTCAATAAGAAGACGGGTGATTTGTACATTGCAGATGCGTATTTCGGGCTGATGAAGGTTGGCCCTGAAGGTGGAGTAGCAACATCAATTGCTACTGAGGCAGAAGGAGTTCCATTCAGGTTTACTAATGATCTAGATATTGACCAAGATGGCAACATTTACTTCACTGATAGCAGTACTAAGTACCAGAGAAGGTAAACAATATGTCTTCACTTTTAAAGTTCGTCACTTTCTTTTACCAATAGAATGGCAAATTCTCTATAGATCACACCTTACTGTCCCCATTGGAATGATGTAACAATATGTCTTCATTTGCAAAGCAAGTGACGTGCTAGTTTGCTATTGGATCACACCGTACTGATCCCCATGGAATGATGTTTTTGGAAGTTCTGAATCTCTGCTTCAATCTGTGTTTTTATGTGTTTCAGGAACTTCATGCAGCTGGTTTTCTCAGCAGAAAACACTGGGAGGGTTCTAAAGTACGATCCCATCACGAAGAAGGCCTCTGTACTTATGAAAAACCTTCAATTCCCAAATGGGGTTTCTCTAAGCAAAGATGGATCCTTCTTTGTCTTCTGCGAAGGATCACTCGGCGTGTGAGTATTTCTTCAATACTGGCCCCCATCGGGCTTATATGTAGAGTTACCTGATTTCCACTAAGTCTAAGCTAATTTATTAATCGATAATATATGGAAGATAATATATACATCTCTTACGAACACAATGCTAAATCTTTTGCCCTTGCTATCTGCAGATTGCACAGGTACTGGCTAAAAGGCGAGAGAGGCGGCACTTCAGAGATATTAGCAGTTTTGCCTGGATTTCCGGACAACGTCAGGACTAATAAAGATGGCGACTTTTGGGTAGCCATCCACTGCCGAAGATCCTACTACACTTACCTATGTGCCAAGTTCCCAACTTTGAGAACATTCCTGCTGAAGCTCCCGATTTCAGCCAAGATTCAGTTCCTGCTTCACATTGGGGGCAGACCACATGCCTTGGTCGCCAAGTATAGCCCGGAAGGTAAGCTGCTGCAGATATTGGAGGACCGTCAGGGGAAAGTGCTGAAAGCGGTCAGCGAAGTGGAGGAACGAGACGGGAAGCTGTGGATCGGAAGCGTGTTGATGCCCTTCGTCGGTGTTTATAGCTTGGAGTAAGTAGTAAGATGGAGCGAGGGAGAGTTAAAGGGTATACCTTTGTTGTATACAGGGGTAATAAGGTGGTTGTTTGTTCATCCCCACATAGGAAGAAATAATGTGTGTTTGGAACTGAGTTTCTTTTGTTGCCCACATACTTGGAAGGGAGAAACGAAATGTTTTTTTTGCTAGGTTATCCCCCTCTGTTGTTGTGCTTGTGTACTGCTGACTGAGTTCTTCTCCTTTTGACAGGCAACTTAGCTATTGAAAAGCAACATTGCACTTGTGTTTCTCCCTGAATCAAGTGTGATGGTTGGTTAATGGAGCTGAGTTTATTATGGTTGTGAACTTGCCGTGAAGCATCCCATACGTCAAAACGAGTCAAAACGAGTCGTTGTGACAAAATATTATGTTTGGAAAGTAAAAGATGAATTTGTTGTGAAACATTCTGACCATCAAAACGAGTTTTTGTAACGAAATGTCATATTTGAAAAGTAAAACAATGAGATGTGGCAATTAAACACATCACATTGTCGTAGTTGAGGTCTACATTTTTGAAAATGTCTTGCTTTTTCAAACGTAAATATTTTAATTTAACAAACACATCTTCTATACTACGATTTTTAGCAAATAGATCACTATACTTTATCATTTACTTATTTTGATTCTCTTGGTACAAAAATGAAACACATCTTCTGTACTACGATTTTTAGCAAACGGGTCACTATACTTTATCATTTACTTTATTTTGATTATCTTGGTACAAAAGAATTCATTTGAAGAATCCAAATGACCAATGACTTATCGTATGGAAATGACAACTACTATATTTAAAAGTCAAATTGAAAAGCGAATATTTTTAACATACCAACAAGATATTGTGTACATCTACGACGTGATGGTCGATTCTAACGATAACTAGTTCAAATTTATATAAGTAAAATAAAGATGAATAACATAATGTAAAAGGCATGAATTTATATATACAAGCCACAAGGACTTGTTTGTCAAAACAGGAGAATACATGAACTATAAAATTACCAGGACCATATTTTTTCCCCATTATAATTGCGTGAAGACGATGCAATAATTAACAAAGGAAGCCGAATCCGTGTAGGATATTAATTCTAATTCGCCCTTATCCTTGTACAATGTGGACTTTATTCCCACTAATTTCGCCTTTAAGTAACTCCACAGGCCGAGCTTAATAAATGACTGATCGGAACACGAACAGAGCGAAAATCCCAAAGCGGAAAAATTTCCCAAACACCGCCACCGCCACAGCCGTCTCCAATCATGGATCCAGAAGATTACTATGGCAGCGACGATGATGATTACATGATCGACGTCGACGATGAACCCAGTGATTTCGTGGAGGAAGAGGACCGAAAGACCAACACCGCTGCTTTCTCAACCCTCAGCAAAGAGGACATCGACCGGCGCCAGGAGGATCTGATCGCCGACGTTTCCACCTTCCTCTCCGTCCCGAGATCCGTCGCAATCGCGCTCCTCTACAAGTTCAAGTGGGACTCCGACTTGGCCCAGGAAAACTGGTTCTCCGACGAGGAGGAGATGCGCCGCCGCTACGGCCTGACTGCCGCTCCGGCTCCGGCTCCGGCGGCGGTGAACAGAAACAGCCACGAATGCAAGATTTGTTTCGAGACGTTCGGGATCGAAAACCTCGCCTCGCTCTCCTGCGGCCATTACTTCTGCAGGACCTGCTGGTCGAGGTACATCGAGCTGAGCATCGACGACGGCGCTGGGTGCCTGACCCTCCGCTGCCCGGAGCCCAATTGCCCCGTCCTGGTCTGCCAATCGACGGTCGGAACCCTAATTAGCGACCGCCGGTACGCGGAGAAGTACGCCAGGCTCCTCCGCCGGTCCTACATCGAGGGGAAATCGGGCCACAAGTGGTGCCCTGCCCCCGACTGCGAGACCGCGGTCAAATTCGAGGTCGGGGAGAAGTCCAATTACGACGTCGTCTGCGACTGCTCGCACGAGTTCTGCTGGAACTGCTCGGAGGACGCGCACCGGCCGCTCGACTGCGCGACGGTGCTGCGGTGGATCCGGAAGAACAAGTCCGATTCGGAGAACGTGAATTGGGTTTTGGCGAACACCAAGGCCTGCCCCAAATGCCGGCACCCGATCGAGAAGAACCAGGGCTGCAACCACATGGTCTGCAAGTGCCGGCACCAGTTCTGCTGGATGTGCCTCGGCGACTGGAAGAAGCACGGCGAAGGATCGGGAGGGTACTACAAATGCAATTCGTACGAGGCGAAGAAGGCCGAGGGGAAATTGAGCGAGGAGGAGGAGAAAAGGCAGCACGCGAAGCGGCTGGTGGATCGGTACGCGCACTACTTCGAGCGGTGGGCGGGGAATCGGACGGCGAGGAAGCGGGCGGCGGCGGATCTGGAGAAATTGAGGGCGGAGCATTTCCCGCAGCTGGTGTACGACTACCGGCTGACGTACACCGAATTGGACTGCGTGGTGAGGGCGTGGATGCAGATCAAGGAGTGCCGGCGGGTGCTGGAGTGGACTTATGCGTACGGTTATTACCTGGGGGCGGAGGAGGAGGAGGAGGAGGAGGAGGGCGGCGGCGGAGGAGGAGGGGGGAGGAAGAAGGCGAAGAAGGATTTGTTTGAGTTTTTGCAGGCGGAGGCGGAGACGATTTTGGAGAAGCTGCATAATTGCGCGGAGAAGGACATTTCGCCGTTTATTAATGCCGCCGCCGGCGGCGGTGGAGGGGAAGAACGAGTGGTGGAGGAATCGGAGCGGAAGGAGTTTTTCGAGTACAGGTTGAAACTGCAGGGGCTGACGAATACGACGGGGAATTCGTTCGAGCGGCTGGTGAGTGGATTGGAGAACGGGTTGGAGGATTGAACACAGGTGAATAGTGATTTTTTTAGGTAACAACGTTGTTCTCATTGTTAATTTTGAGAATTTGCTATGGTTATTTTGTGTATGTAATCGATATTAATTTAGATCGTGGATAAATAAAACAATTTATTTAAGGTTAAATTCAAGAAATTGGTGGGTTAATTATTTTCAACTTACAAGGTCAATCGTTTGATGTTTTGGGTTGGTCTTTATCGATCATATAAATATAAATTTATCACTTGTCTTCAATTCAAACCAATCGATACGAGTGTGGATGAAGCTGATTATATATATGGCACACAAAGAGTAGAGCAGTTGATCGAATTTGTTTGCTTAATCCAAATCAAAATGCATACACTTCACAGAATGAAAATGAGCGTAGTATTGTTATTTGAAATGTATAGCTTTTTTAGTAGACTTTAAAACAAAATCATGTATTAACTTTTCAATTTGATTTTCTCAATTATCATGAGGCAATTTGGATCGTTTGGATGGGTCATTCCCAAAATTAGGCAATTTGGATCAAAAGATCCATTTTAAAAAATGAGTCAATCTGGTGAGGAAATCTGCCAAGAATGTGTCGTTTGGAATAGACTGTGAGATGGAGAAATTTTGGTGAGTCAATTTGGTGAAATACCAATTTACCCTTATCTTCTGCAAGTTTCTCGTCTTGTTTACTGCAATTTTTCGTCCCTGCTTCTGGGTTTCTTTCTGTCGAGTTCTTCATTTTCAAAATTCTACTTAAATCCTCTCGGATTCACCATATCCCTCGCATGCAATCAGTTTCTACTGTCGTACCCACAAAACACAATGGAAAATTTTAAAAGAGAATAATAATCCAACTAATAAACAAAATAGAACATAAAAGCAAATCATAATCGCCGCTATTTTTGAAGTTTTCACAGAGAGTCAGAGATCAAGACGGAAAGGAGAAAGAAGGCAAGGTAAGAAGAAGCATTTTCCCTCATAGATCCCCCTAAGAAACAGAGCAACGGAAAACAACCCCAAACCCAGAGAGAAGGCTACCAATCAAGCAATCGATTTCCCCCTGAATAAAATGAAACCCCCTAATAGCAGAGCATCCAAAATTTGAACCTAAGCTTGATTGAATTGATGAAAAACCTACCGAGAAATAAAAAGAATCTAGATCGACCCACAACTCAATTACATGCAGAACTCCCAATTGATTTCTGAATATTCAAAATCGCAAGCCCAATCGAGCAACAAACCCAGGTCCTCTCTTCCCTCTTCGTCGGCAAACTTTACCCTTTATCAGATGGGTTCTCGTAAAGAGAACGAAACAATCAAGCTTCCCTTTCGTCGTCGTTATATCGTCCGCAAGAGAGAAAATGAGGAAATAGAGGAGAAGGGAGAAGATTTGTTTTGCAGATCGTTTGTGAAGAGAGAAAAAGGAAAGAGAAGAAGAGAGGAGGAAGGGTTTAATTGTTGCAGAGAAAGGAAAGGGATGGGTTGTCTCTGGATAGAGAGAGAGGGGGGAAAGAAAAAGGGTCAGAATTGGAAGGTGGGAATGAAAACGCGTCAATTGATAATATCTGCCCCCACCCCAGGTATTCTCAATTGCCCCATAACGGTGCAATGTTAATTCCCCCACTCCAAATTGTTCCGTTTTCATTTTATCTAGCCAAATGGGTTAATTTGCTCCAATGGTCTCATTTTGAGCCAATTGGATCACATTGCCTCATAAAAAAAACTCATCCAAACGACTCCATAATTTGTTTTAGATTTTTGGACTTTGCTACGGTGACATGCATGTCACGATGACATGCACTTTTCGGTCGACCTCATATAGGATCAGGTCGACCTAATCTGTTGTTTCAATGTAAAAAAAGTTTCATGGTGCCTACTTTGGAGATTCATATCTTACAATTGGCTAGATGGAAATTGGAGATTAAAGGCTTGTTTCGAAGCTAAAGTGTCCATCTACACATTAAAGTACTTGGGAGCTCAATAGAAAGTCCAGAAGACCATTTTTGAACCTGACCAAAAGGCTATGCCAAAACTTGGAAACTGCCTGAAAATGGCTAAGTCTGGCAACGTGTTTGTCAAGCCTACTTTGGAGCTCAATTTGAGAAGCATGGATGCGAGTCAAGTTCAGGGGCCTCTACCACGTTAAATTACGTATTTTTTTATACAAAGACAAGGCATTGGATGAAAGATTGAATATCTTTAAGGCTTCAAACAAAAGGCTCGAAGTTGCTACGAAGGCTGTTTTTCTGGCCGCTTGCTTGTGCTCCAAGTCTGCCAGAAAAATAGCCTTCGTAGCAACTTCGACCCTTTTGTTTGAAGCCTTACAGGTATCCAATCTTTTATCCAATGCCTTGAATTTGTATAAAAACATACCTAATTTAACGTGGTAGAGGCTCCTGGACTCGACTCGCATTCATGCTTCTCGAATTGAGCTCCAAAATAGGCTTCACAAAGACGTTTCCAGACTTAGCCATTTCCAGGCAGTCTCCCAGTTTTGGCATAGCCTTTTGATAAGGTTCAAAAATGGTCTTCTAGACTTCCTATCGAGCTCTCAATCACTTCAATATGTAGAAGGACACTCCAGCTTCAAAACAAGTCATTAGTCTTCAATTTCCATCTAGCCAATTGTATGATATGAATATCCAAAGTAGGCACCATGAACTGTTTTTACACTGAAACAACAGAGTAGGTCGACTTGATCCTATACGAGGTCGACCGAATCCTAAATGAGGTCGACCAGATCCTATATGAGGTCGACCGAATTCTAAATGAGGTCGACCTAATCCTAACTGAGATCGACCGGAAAGTGCAAGTCACCATGACATGCATGTCACCGTAGACACACCCTAGATTTTTTGGTGTCATTTTGAAACACAAATAGCACTTTTAGAACAAAAAAATATAATTTTAATTATCAAAATACATCCCTCGTGTATATACATGAAATTAAATGTTGAACGATGGCTAACCCTAATATTAAATAACGAACTTAAGTCCATCTTTATACACACATTCCATAAACAATACTACACAAATTTATTTATATAATATATTTTTTTTTTTCAACAGATCATTTCTATTGCACAAGGTAACCCAATGATACAATGATAATGTTCGAACGCTATGGAAATCAACGTAATACTTGGCCAAAGCTATTAACCAACCACAAATCAAAACCAACATAACCCAAAGGGAACAATTAAAGGGTCTTCCTGGCTAGGGCTGAAAATTGTTTTGACCCGCCCCTGAAGGACCAAGATATAGAACTGACCGCCTCGTCCTGTTTCCTTCTTGACCTTGTCTGATCGGAGCAGGTTGGTGGTTTGGCCCTAATAAACATACTGATTTTAAAAACTTACATTTGGTACCAAATTATTTTCTTATTATTTAGTACCTAAAATTTATTTTTTTACAAATAGGTCCATAAAAATTGATGGTAAAATTACATTTTGGTATCCATTTTTTTTTACAAATTAGTACATAAACTTTTCAAACTTTACAAACAGATCCAATGTGTTGGTATGAGAAATTTCATAAGACTAGTTGTTGCTAAGGCTCATAGGATCAAAAGCTGATCCGCCCTTAAGTTGACTCGACCCTTACAAGATCAAAAGATAACCCGACCATAAACTGACTCTATAGACAAATTGATCCAACCCGACCCTAAGAGTCAGGACATATCAGTTGGTTTTAAGGATCAAAATTACACCCCTATTACTGGCCACTCGATGTGCAATTAGGGATGACAACAAAACCCGAACCCACGGGTACCCACCCGACCCAACCCGGTCAACACGGGTAAAATTCGTGTTGACGGGTTTTGGGCCAGGTTCGGGTTTAAACCCGCTACACTATTCACCTGGTTGGGTTTGGGTTTGGGTTTAGGTAAACCCGCCCCATGGGTACCGCCCACACACATATAATTACTTTCCCGGTACATTTAATATTCTAAGTAATATATCTTCCTTAAACAACTAATATTCTTTATGTTTGTGGAGACATGTATAATTTGTTCTTTCTAATTGTTTAGAATGAAGTTGATATTATGGAGTGGAGAGTGAAGAAACTTAGTTGACAAGGAAGAAACTTTCAATTAATCTTGTGGTTTATAGATGTTTATCTTTAATTTTGAACAATTTATATTGATCATTTGCGGTTTACTTGTATGCTCTAGATTAGTGTTTTTTGTATGAATAATTTGTATGAGAAAATTGATGTTAAACTTTTATTTTGAAAGAAACTTGTTATTGTGAATTTTTTACCACAAAAACCCACGGGTACCCATGAACCCGCGGATACCCAACGGGTTGGGTTGGGTTTGAGTTTTTCAAACCCAGCGAGTTTTACCCCGAGTTTTTTTGGCGAATAAACCCATAAATTTAGATTTGGGTTTGACAAAATCCGTCCCAACCCGACCCATTACCATCCTATGTGCAATCCATTTGCAGTACGACCAACAAATTTCACTCGATAACCTGCGCGCCCAAGCTGTCAATATCTTAACCTCCATCACCACACACACCCACCACTTAAAAAACCTCGCTCGCATATACCTTATCATGCATGTAATACATTACTGGGTTAATAACATACATGTGGTGAAGGTCTCTAAGAACCTCCTACGAGCTCTTCAACTATGCTCCAAAGTATTGGTGTTCAAGATACAAATTGAATTTGTAATATAAGATTAAGAGGTCGTTTGGAAGTTGGGAGTCTATGAATATGTATATTCTCACAATGTATGTATTTTAAGTGCATGTTCAGTTTGTATCATAAAAAGATTTGTACAAAAATGTATTGGTACAAACTTAATTTATACTATAATGTCAAAAAATACAAGTTTGGTTTGTACCATAAAAGAACTAGTGCAAACTAAATTTATACCATGAGTCCATGACTGCAAGTTCATTCTCTAACCACAAACATTTATTTTCTTAAATCAAACAACCGATACTATAAAATAATGTATAATTCTTCACCATAATAACAAACCATACTCTCAGTGGCGGACCCAC